TATATAAATCTAATTCTTTAAGATTCTACTCAATAATTCATTTTTTAATTATTTTAGTTTTATTCATTGTTTTTAAAATCGATTTCATTTCTAATTTAAGCATTATCAAATTATTAAGCTTTTGCTTAAGTATTAAATTCAACTGCCTCATATTAAAATAATGATGCAAATTATTACTATAAATTTAGATTATTAGGTTAGAATAAAATCAAAGGATATTTAATTATTTTTTTCTAAAATGATTTGATTTATTATATTCGAAGATTCTTTTAAGCCATTTTGATAATCTTAAGTTTTTGTAATGAATAGATGCCCATCCATATAATTGTTAGGCTATTATTAATTTATATATCTTGAAATTATTTCTGTAAGTATTTCAGAATTTTCTATTGTTAATGATAAATATTAATGAATGTTTTGTAACAATTTCTGATGGTTTAATAATTTAGTAATGTTCGGGGGTACTTTATGCATTTTCTAGAAATAAAATAACGTTAATATTTATATTATTAATATTAATCTAAAATATATATTTACCTTTCTTTAAAGATAGAAATTATAATTTTAGTAGATGATTATTCATAACAATTAATAGATTTGTTTTTAATAAATGAGTTTTCAGAATATATTTGAGTGATTAATTAAAATAAATATAAAATATAATAATTTCTGTTAAATTAATTTGATGGGAAATCAGATTCAAAAGATCAATAGAAAAATCGATTAATTGTTATTTAAAGCTTATTAATATTTAATATAGGAAGATGAATTATCAGATACAACTGTGGATGTACTTTCGATAGATGAAAACATAAAAGAGAATAATGTAGATACTTAGGAATAATAACAGAGTTAAAATGAAGAGTAAAGTTAAGAATTGAATCTATATAAGAATAAATCGAAAGTAATAAACAAAACATAGGAGGATGAACCTATTTTGGGTAGTAAAAGAAAATCAAAATCATAATTACTATCTGATAGAAAGATCAATAAAAAGATTTGCGAAAACAAAGAAAACTATCTATATATTTGAAGGATATATGTATTTAATCTTAAAAATTTACATTATTCAATAATTTTAAGAGTTCAGAATATTTTGATTGAATTACATAAATAAATGTTGTAACAATGTATTTGTAATAAATTGAATACATAAAAATAAGTTTAAGAAATAAAAATACAATTCAATCTTAATGTTAAATAATATATTCTTCTAAAAATTATCTAGCTTAACACTTAAGTTTATTTTTTTTCTTATAGTCTGATTAATATCTACTTTATCGATTCTACGATCCAGATAAGGTTGGCATAAATGGTTAGTTTTATTATGGTAAAATTGCATTAGTATGTGATTATGATACGACATTATAAAAATGTTGATAAGATGTTTTTAAATATGGACTTGGTGATTAATTAGTATGTCTTTTGTAATGAGCCTCTCTAACATAATGATCATTTTCTAATTAAGAACTACATGCTCTAAAATGCTTATTGTAGGTTGTCTTTTAAGACATAGGTAAATTTATAGAATGATCAACTTCAATAGGTTTTAGAATTGGAGTGATATCTAATGTAACTTTTTTATATATTATACTATTTGGTTGTTATTTGAAGTTTGTTCTATAAGATGACATTTCAACAATTGGAGATACGTTGTTCCAATCTTAAGGTGATGGTTTAAAATTTTCAGTTTTCTAAATGTTGAATGATTGAAAATTTCTTTAGTAAGTAGAAGATTTGAAAACCTGATCAAAATTTGACTAATATTCTACTTACTACACTGGCTTTGAAGGAGAAGAGTATTTCCACTAATATTCTCGTTTATAATTTGACAATAAAAGTTTTGGATAATCATAAGGTTGTTATATGACTTAGCATTTGCATTATCCACATAAACAATCAACACATACACATGTTCCATCTGCATGTGAATAATTTCGAGATTTTTACATTCTAACATCCTTTATTCTTTATTCTATTGTACTTCTTGCTCTAGGCTTTGACATTATTTTAGAATAATTTTTATTTAAAAATTAATAAACTAAATAATTTAATGAAACATTATAGGAACTTCAAAACTATCTGTTACACTATGTATTTCTTATTCAGATTTATCTGATTTATGATTTCTATTATTAAAAGAAGATTAATAAATGAAAAAATAAATAAATAATTTCAATGATAGGTCCAAAATAATTATTTCTTATTCCCTTAAACATTTACTAGAATGAGGAAAGTCAAAGTTTATAATGCTTAGATGATTTTGAAGTTAAAATTTAATCCAAAGAAGATTTTTCTATAAATCACATTGTCTAAACTCAGTCGTCTCGTCAAAAGTTAATGAAGAATGATAAAAAAGTCTTATTTAATCCAACTATCATTAGCTATAGCTTCTCTAAAAATGAACCAGCCACTGCAATTTCAAAATAGATGAAGAAATTAATACAAATGTAGCCAAATTTAAAATGGATCAACCCTTCCCTTTGAATATTTAAAAAAATGATTTCATTTATATTACACTTTTTATTTATTAAATAAATTCATATTTCTTAACACTTTGTATTTTACCAAAAATTATTCAATTTTAGATGTTAAAATTAGGATAAAAAAAATTTATTAAATGCTTTTATATTTTTATATAGCAATAAATATTTATTTAAATATTACACATGAATTTTATAGAATAAATAATAATTGCTTATTAGCTAATATTTTCTATGTCTAACAAAATATTCAATTTTATTATATTATTTATAATAATTAAATTTCAAATGTCATTAAAAAATTCAAATTTCTAAGAAAAACAAGGGAATATCAAATCAAATGAATAATCTGAAATTATATACAAAAAGAGTTAAGCATCATAAAGAGATTCTTCAGGTAGGAATAACAAACATAAGAAAAATAGTATATTGAAAGAATAAACACCATCTTAATTCTAAAGTAAAGGAGAAAATTAAATAAAAGAGGAAATTCAAGTTCAAGAAAATGTTGCAAATTAATCTAATCTTTCAAAAAGGGATTAAAACAAATCTTTATCTTAAGAGAAAAAATATGAAACTTAGCCTAAACTAAATTAAATTGAAAAAAACGAGGAATAAGTTGAAAAACAAGTTCAAAAAAATTCACAACTAAAAATTTAGCCTGCTTTCTCTGTTAATATATAAATAACTTAATACAATAATAATTCAAAAACAATTCAAAAATTTGTATCTCCTTAAATAAGAGATTAAAAAGAAGAGAATAAAATTAATGAATAGTAAAATGAATTACAACCTATTCAATTAGTATAATCTAATATATTCTAATCATAAAATAAAGAAAGTGGGAATAGAAGATCATCAAATCAAGAAAGAATATAAGAATTTAATAGAGAAAGTTTGGATAATAATTTTAATGAAAGAAAGTTATCAAGTTATGAAATTAAAATGGGTGTAACAGACGATCCAATGTTGAAAGAAAAATAGGAAATATTATCAGATATACATGAAATATTAAAATAGATTCAAGTTAAGTCTCTTCATAAACGACATTCAATATTGGAAGATTGCCTTTAATTGTGTTTATTATTATTACCAGATATAAGAATAACTGAAGATTAAATACATTCATTAAAGTTTTTTGAAGATATAAAACTTTAATATAATTTAGATAGAACACATTAAGCTTTTAAAAGAAGGTATAAAATGAAAATATAATAGATTTTATCATTTGTAAATATTTTCAAATTGTTGGACTGTATAGAATTTATAGAAGATGTATCAAATAATAAAGAATTCATAGGATAATTAATTAGAAGCATATCATATAAATTATAGTATAGTAAACAAAACGATTGAATTTCCTGAATTAGTTTCAAAGAAAAAATCACCTGAAAAACCAAAAGCAGTATAGGAGATAATAGCTAATTCATAAAATAAAAAGATTGTATTATCATGTATTATATTGATTGATAATTAGTGACAACTAAAACATTATGTTAATATGTAAATTTGCCAGCAAAAGAAATAGATGAGGATATTTAAGAGTTTGAAGATGAATTATAATTTGTCGAAATGATTCTGAAACTAATTCCACTTGCTTTATGATTTAAAATTTATATTGAAATATTTATATAAATGTATATGATAATGTAATTTGAATTTAGATATGTGTTTGGTTATAGATGAAAAATAAAATTTATATGAAACTTCTTTGAAATTCAATGACTTTAAGTTTATTAGATATTTATCAATTCTTAAAGATTAATGAGGAAATATTGAAGATGTATAACTTTAAATTTAATGTATTTAAATTTGAATAATTTTAACATTCACTTTCATTATTATTTTTTCAAATGTCTTAACAATATTAATAGATGAATGAAGAAAATGGGGAAATTGAGATTCCTGTCAATAAACCACTTAATTAGCAAGATAATGTTGCACAATAAAGTAATCAAGAAACTGTTACAAAGTAAAAAATAAGATTTGAATTTATAGAGGATAAACAGGAAAGTAAAAAGTAGCAGATTCGGAGTCTTCCTCTTCATCAGATGATGATGATAAACCTATGATAAAGAAATAAGATAATAAGAAACAGAATGATAAGAAGTAAATATTATTTTCAAAGTATTTTAGGAAGGTCAAATCACTTTAGTTATAATAGATGGAATTAGAGGAATCTAACAAGTAGGCATTAAAATGGGCAATTCGACTAAGATCTTTTATGCGAATCATATTTTTAATAATTACTACAACTGTTTTGTTTTCAGGTTTTTATGTAATATTTGAATTTTTTGCATTTTATGATGGTATATAAAAAATACCAGCAAACTCTAGATTAATGATGAATGTAACAAATTGTAGAATGCATATAATAGATAGTGTAAATAATAAAGTTTATTATAGGAATACTAAATTAATAAATCAGTGTCTTCAATTAAATATTTAGGTGCTAGTATTACAACTTTAAAAAAGAAAATGTCTCACACTTAAAGTCTTAATTAATCAACAATAAATGGGTCGAAATTAGGAGATGCAATAGATGAAAGTTAAAGCCTACTAATTCCAGATTTTGCATTAGAATATTCAATACCAGGAAGATTTAATATTGATCCAAATGCAAATACTTCAACAGTTTCTGAAGATATTCAAGGAACCAATTATAGTTATGAATTTACAAACTTACTATCTGCTTAAAGTTGTTAGATAGATCTCCATGTATATAAATAAGCTGTTCTTGACGATTTATCAATAAATTGTTTTGGATCTTGTTTTATAGTGATGACTTCAAACAACATATCATATAATACAATGAATATTGTAATTATTTTTTATAATAATAAATTAGACAGGAGAATTGGTAGAGTTGAATGCATTAAAATTAGTTACTAAGAATTTAACATTCAATAGTATATAAGGAAGGTTTTAAGGAAATTATTTATAATTTGAATAATTTTCTGATGTTAGATTAGAAAATGGAGATATTATATTTTAGACAGATAATGAAATGATGGTAAATTGGACACATGCTAATCCTCATTATTGTTATGCTGCTCCAGTTATAGCAAATCCTATTGTTGTAGGTTGTTAAGAAGCACCTGCATCTGAAGTTAAAGCATTTATTTAAGGTGTTGGTACTGGAAAGAAAAAAAAAAAGAAGGATTAAGATAAAGATGATGATGATGATAAAGATGATAAAGATGATAAAGATAAAAAAGATAAAAAAGATAAAGGTGATGAAACTGAATTTTTAAGTTTAGAAGATGAAATCTATGAAAATTTCTTTGCTGATGAACATGATAATTTATAAGGAAATATTATCTTATTACCATTTGTTGATACTTATAATGAATCAAAATAATTTTAAGTTTAATTAGATTAAATGACTCATTAAGAAGAAAAAGATGCTACAATTACTAAAAGTGATACTGATCCAAAAAAAGATGAAAAAGATAAGACTTAAAATTCTAAAGCAAATATGTAAAGTAAAACTAAAGATACTAAAGAATAATAAGCACTTTTATTTTAACCATCTTGTTATGGTAATTCAATATTTTGTTAATCTTTGGAATGTAAAAGTATTAAAGAGGCATTAACAAAATCTAATAATACAATTAAACCAACCAATTCTACTGATTAAAATTCAGGTGAATCTAAAGGATCTAATTTATTAAGATTTTTAAAAGAAGGGGAAGAATTAAAAACAGATGATAAAAATAATGAAACAGACAAGGATGCAAATAAAACTGAAGCTAAAATTGATTATAAAGGAATTAATGCTGAAGCATAAAAGAAATTACCTCATTCTATCCCTGTAGGATTAAGATTCTTAAATATTACTGGTAGATTTGGCAATCTTTATGTTAATATTATTAAAAAATAAAATAAAACTGTTAATATTAAAGATACAATCATTCATGGATTAAGTTATGCATCAAAAAGTGTTGATTTTGATTTACCAAGTTAAAAAACATTAAGACACTATTTAAAAATGGCTGAAGATCCTCATAATTTTGATCCTAATTTTGTACTCAAAGTTGGTTCTAAAATAACTAGATCTGATAATTATTAATAATGGTCTTTAACTTATAATCCTGCTTATTCATATGTTAAACCATGGTGGATGGGTACATTTTCATTTACTCTAATGAGTACAGCTTCATGGGCTTTAGATGTGAATTTAAGTCCTGGATTTTGTCCTTATCATCCTACTTTAGATTTAGATGATATCTATAATACTAGATTTCTTATTGGAAAATATTTTGAAAAGGCTGAACATTCTATCACTACCATAGCATGGTAGAATTCGGTCAAATTTCCAACTGAAAATTATCCAAAAGAAGCTTCAGGATTACGTAAATATATTGAATCTAATAATGAATTTGAAAGATGGGTTGAAATTACTAAATTAAATGAAACAAGTTATTAATTAACAAACATTAATCTAGACTAAAGTCCAGCTACATAATGGGCTGTTTATGTATCTGTTATCATTTCTATTTTAACTGCATTCTTTTTAATGTTGGGAATTCTGTATATTATTAATTCAGTATATAAATAAATTCTAGAATAAGTTGCAGCTACTAATAAATATAGTGGAATTGAAAAAAAAAATGATCCTGAAGGAGCTCAACCATTAATGAAATTGGCTCCAGAAGAAGCTGATGACAATTCTAAATAAGATGATAGTTCAAATAAAAAAGATGATACAAATAAAAAGAAATCCTCTTAATAAGATATGGAAATGTAATTTATTTTATATATATTTTGTTTAGTGTCTTAAATATGAATTTAGGAAGATTACTCTATTAATTATTTGTATTGGCTCCTCCTTTATCAGCATTTATAGATTATTTATGTGTTTTGATTAGCAAAAAATATATTAATTCAGCTGAAGAATTCTATACACATTTGTTTTAAAAGAAATTAAAAAGTAATACTGATTCTGAATTGCATAATTTAACAACAGAATCTATTTTAGGAAATGAAATGAAAACATTATATGAAAAGTTTTGTTTCCTTAATGGATTTCTTGAGTAAAAACTAGATGATGAAAAGAATCTCAAATTACTTAAGTTTAAAGGCTTTAAAATTATTCTTAAAGAAGATGCTCAAACTGAATCATATGTTAGAGTTATTTTAAATGGAATGATGCCTAAATTACCAGTAATTACTCCTGATAAAAATACTTTAGAGTTATTTATTTAAAATTGTTGCAAATTAACTAATTTTGAAGAGGATAATATAGTTGTTCAAACCTTTAATGAATGCTATTAAGAATTTTGTGTATTGAATCATTTACCTTATGAATAACCTTCAGCTTCAGAATTATAAAAAAGTTATAATATCACAAGTAAATATATTCCATAACAATGGGTTGAAAGAGATGAAGAAGAAGTTCATAAGGAAGATGAGGGTCCTCCTTCATTTATGATGAAAGTTTAGAATTGTTTAACAGATTGTCTCAAGAAATGTTTACCAGAATAATAAACTTTTATAATTAATAGATAGAAAATGTAAAATCATTATTCATTAATTTTGAATAATCCAGAATAAATAAAAACTTAAGCTGAATTAGCAGAAGCAAATAGAGAACTTATTCTATTTGGTGGTTGGTGGATGGTTGATTTTTTCACAGTCTTAGCTCATTTCATTACAACAGTAATTTTAATCATTCCACTTTTCTCATTTACAATATTAGAAAAGATATTATATGCATAATATTCACTAATACCAATATAATATTTAATTACATTAGAAGATATTTTATAAAACTATTGGGTTGTACCATTAAAATTATATAATGAAAGTACTTGGATTAAAAATGTTTTAATTCTTGTAGGCATATATTGGGTTTATTCAATAATTGATTTGCTTTATTATTATATATCAATGGAGTTCCCATAGGAAAACTTTTTTAGAAAAGTATCACCAAAGACAGCAAATAGAATTTAGTTAATTTTTAGATAAATAATGTGGGCATTAGTATTATATTCCGCATATTAATTATGTGTTTTTATAACTTTGGCATTAGTTTGGTTACTTTTAGGTGCAATAGTAAATCCAACAGCATTTTTACCATATGCAACAGCAGCCGCAACATTTATAACAGTAGTAAGTTCAAAAGCTGCATAATTTAAAGAAATAGCAACTGATGGATTTGATACAGTTATAGCATATGTTTAAAAGATTGCAAAAGATTAAATGGGTAGTATGATATCAAAAATGGATTTGAAAGGAAAGATGAATGATATGATGGATAGTGATGCATTTAAATCTGTGGCTGGATAAGCAGCTAGTTTAGGTTTAGTTGATTAAAGTACATTAGCACATATTGAAGAAAATGCTGATGCTTTATTAAGTAATCCAGATAAAGCATTAGAAGCAGCTTCAAATGCTGCTAGTGAATTATAAGCAATAGCAGCAAATCCTTAAGCATTTGTTGCTAAAATGATGAAAGAATTAGAAGAAAAAGCAATTTAAATGATTAAAGAATAAATGGCTAAATAAATTGAAGGATATGGATAAGAATTAGCCAATATTGCTTTAGCACTCTTTAAAAAAGATAAAAATATGTTTAAAAATAATCTAACTTAATTAATTTATACAGCAGCTAATACTCTTAAATTAGATAGTCTTAAAAAAATTGGCTAACCTATTATGACATTTGTTTGGGAATTTGCTTATCCTAGTAACAATACTGCTTAAATGAGTCCAGAAGATTATTTAGAAGCATTAATTTAACCATGTGCAGAATGTTTTGCTTAATTAATTTAATAAGAAAGTGCTGTTCTATTTCAAGATTAATAAGATATGTAAATGTTTGAACCTAGAATATTATCTTTAGTTTTAAAGAAAGCTATTTCATTATAAAAACATTTGTAATCTGAAAATTTCTTAGGTGTTTTTAATGATCTTGATTAAATTATTAAATAATTAAAAGATGAACCATAATTTACTTAAATTAAATATTTATCAAAATTTTCAGGATTATTGAAAATAGCTATGTCTTTATTTGAAGGTAGAAAGGGTAATTAAATTACATTCCATAAAATTTTTGGAATTATATCAGGATTTTTTGATGAAATTCCATAATTAAAAGAAATTAAAGATTTATTAGGTATAATTGAATTGCTGATTAATTCATTTAATAAATAACATAAAGCATTGCCAACTAAATTAGTAAGATAAAGAATTATAAAAGGTTTAGATGTTATAAATGGACTAATTAAAGGTAAAAAAAATAATATGGATAAAATATTAGAGAATCCATCATTGATTACTTTACTATTTAATTTTATGTAACATAATTTTGAAAAGATTCCAAAGGAAGTTATTAGAGATGTATTTAAATTTATATTTGATAATTTTCATGATTCTAATGTTAGATCAATAAAAGAGTTAGTAATTAGTGAAAGAGAATTTAAAAAACTCATTCCATTAATGACAGGAATTTTTGAAATGGTTGCACTATTTATGGAAGATTCTAAAGAATTGACTTAAAATTTACATTTATAAGCAAATGCTTTTTCTATAGATGAAAAGAAAGCATAATAATTACAAGCTATAGCATCAATAAAATATTTTAGATTTACAACTTATGAAGGTTCTGATAATGAAGAGAAATTATTTGAAAAATTATTAACAAATCCTTTACTAATGAATTTGGCAACTTCTTTGAGATTAGATACAAAATTGCTTCTAGCTATAATAGCTATACTTTTATAACTTTATTCTAAATAATGTACTCAAGAATTATTTTAAACAATATCTAAAATTCATAAGACTGAAGTGAATAAAGTGAAACAGTTCTTTTCATTATTGATATTATTTAAATGTAATAATGCAACTCATTTATCTAATGCATGTGTAGATTTAGCTATACCAAGAGAATATACAATTTTAGTATTATTAGGTAAGAAAGTTCTGGATATTGCATATGCTGATGAATAGAATTTAGTATAATTAGGTGCAAGTGAAGATACTATTAAAGCAATAAAGAGTCCTGATTTTGAATTGAAATTGTGGATGTAAAAACTTAAAAAGGATATTGTTGTCAAAGAAGATAATACAATATTAGGAGGAAATTCAGGGAGATTGAAAAAATTCTTAATAGAAACAATTTCAGATACAGCTTGTTAGATTACATCTTAAAAAGTTAAGGATATTTTATTAGATATTGGAAATAACGATAATTAATTTGCTTAAATTACGTCACGAGAAATAGATTTATTAACTAATATTTTATTATTGAAGAATATTGATTTATTCTCTGCACCTCAAGCATTAGCAAGTGATACTAAATAAAGTGTGTATACATTTGCTACAATTTTGAATGTTAATAAACAATTCTTTGAAGATTTCATTAATATAATATTTTTGACTAATTCTGATAGAGTGATTTAATCTATTTAAAATTCGTAACCAAAAATTGATTCAACAAAGAGTGATGAATTTATAACAAAAGAACATTAAAAAGATTATGAAAATTATCTTGAATTTATGTATTCTAAGATGGAAATGATTTAAAAGAAGCATTAATTCATTTATTCCAAAATGTAGACCTTGTTTCCTATGATTAAATTACCATTATCTTTAATTGAGAAATTGCTTTTCAATAAAGATAAAGGAATGGATGTGAATTCATTTTATCAATTAGCTTATTTAATTATTGAGAAAGATGAAAATGGAAAATTACCTAAAGGAACTCTAAGATAATTAAATAAATCAGTTTCATTTTTAACTTCAACATTAAATAGTTAAACTTCCAAAGGATTAAAATAGGCCTTAGATAAGAAAGACTTAAATGATGGTTAAGTTTTATTAATCCAAATGTTGAATGAAAACTCAAAGTAAAGATCTATTACATTATTATTAAACTTTTTAATGTAAAATAGTAAGAAAAGTAAGAATGATGAAAAAAGACCTCTTCCTTAAATTTATCATGTATTTACATGTCTTTATCTCTATTTTACAGGTTAATGGAGTGATTTAACATTGACTATTGAAGAATAAGAAACAAAATAGACTCAAAGTTAAAATATTTTATAATATTTATCAAAAAGATTGGATATAAAGTAAGAATTCTTTGAAGCAATTCATACATTCTTTTTAAATGATAATTAAAAGTTCACTTAAACAATGGTTAAATTTATGAGAAGATAATAAGCATGTAAATTTGAAAAGGAAAATCCTGGAGTGAAAATACCATTATAATCTCTAGTTAAAATACCAGATCAATTTGTATTAAACTTTATAAATTTAATAACAGGATAAGGTTATCAAACATCTTTCTTTTCTAAAGAACTTTCAATGGATTCTGGAATAGTTGAAATGATTAGTACACTGACAACAATTAAAAATGCTAAGATTGCTTCTTAAAGAGTTTAGAATTATTAATATTTATCTACATCATCCAAAAAATTAGGACCATTGTTAGATAAGGTTGGAGTGAAAGGGGATGAGTTTGTTTTAATTTTGTAAATTCTTTTCCAAGATTATGAGATTAATAATATTCAATCTCTAATAAATGGATTTAAATTAGAATAAAAATTAAAAGTATAGGGTGTTTAAAATTTATTGTAATTAGATAGGGTTGTAAATAATTAAGACAAAGATTGGTTGAAGTAGATTTTGTCAATAAAAGATAATTAATTAATTAAAGATATGAAAGTAAATCCTGAAATAGCTGTAATAACAAAAGGTTTAGTAAGAGGTAAATATGCAGGATTAGAAGCATATATAAAGAAATTACCACATTTTGATTATGCCTAATGTGATGGAAGAGCAGAATACTTTGGATTATTGTAAGGATTGATAGGTTGTATAAGTGGACCTATTCCAGAATAATTTAATATTAAGGGATTCTTAGCTAATCTATATAAATTATTAGAAGATCCTAAAACTAAAGATATTCCATCTGAATTGACTTAATAGAATAATTCAGTTGAATATGCTATCTATAAATTAGTTTAAATCATTTAAATTGATCCGATTATTTTAATGCTTACTTAAGGAATGATTCCTGCTTGGAAATTAATTCAAGAAAGATATATGAATGAAGAAAAAAAATGGATCAATCCAGTTTTAGTACTATCAACTTTTTTGACATTTTAAGCAATTCCAACATTATTAAAAGAAATATTTGGAGAAGTTGAATGGTTTAGATAAATGGATGAACTTTATGATAAAATTTATGAAAGTGTTGATATTGTGAATGATTAAAATAGAAATAGCAAACCACCTCAACCACTAATAGGAAATTTTGATAGATTTTATAGTTATCCAAATTGGTTAGATGAGTAGGAAAATTGTATTGAAGATTTAAAAAAGAAGTTGTTCTTAGATACAATTGATTCTTTAGAAGAATTATAAGATATGGTTGATATATGTAATTTCAATCCATAAGTTATATAATTCTTAAATATTGGCAAAAATGATGTTAAAAATGCTTAATTAGATGTATTGGCTGAATCTGTAGAAATGTATGGAAATCTTATTGGCGATGATGATTTGTTAGGAATTGCTAATGTTATTAGAAATACACCTTCCTCTGATCCATAATTCAATAGAATTTCATATGATTAAGCTGTAGAAATGTTTAAAGATGATCCAGAAGAATAGTAAGGTTTGAAAAACTTGTACCCTTTAATTATGTATCAATAAATGATTAAAGTTTATCAAGAAACTTGTTAATTGTTTATTGATCCTAGGAGAAACATGGAATAAAAATTATTAACTGAATAATGGATAATGAAAGATATTGAATGTCAACAAACTCCTATTTTTACAATGGGAATAGCATCAACTTTAGCTAGTCTTAGAAAATCTTTTTGGAATCCACTTGAAAATTAATAACCTAGAGATGAAGAACATTATAAAATTACTACACATTAGATTGATTACATTTTGACTAGTATTGAAAGAATGTATTATTTCAAGAATTTTACAGACTATTTCTCAAAAACGAAGGCTACAGTTTTAATTGGATTAGCTTGTGGATTTGCAATTTCTACTGAACATATTATTTCAGCTAATTGTACAGCCAATTTAGTGAACTATGAAAGAGCTTTAGAACATAAATAATTACAAGTTAATTAATAAAAGAAAGTTTTTCACAAATTTGCATTTTTAAGAGAAGTAATAGAAAATAGACTTGAAAAATATAGTGATATGAAATCTAGATATTTTAAATCCTTTTAATTTACTAAGATACTTAAGTATGGTTTAGATATTATTTCAGAACCTGAAAATTATCTTGAATTTTCAATTTAAAATATTGAAGCTAATCCTGATTAAGGAATCAATTGGGATGATTATTTCTTTGATGTTGGATTTTTATCAGGGGGATCTTAAATGATAAAATGGATTAGAGCAGAAGGAGTCTAAGCCAAAATCAACCCATAAACTAGATTAATTATATTAAAAGAGAGACTAACGCAATTAATGGAAAAGGATATTAGTGATTAACATGCGAACATGAAGAAAATATGGCTTGAATAATAAAGATTAATAATCGAACCTAAGTAGATCTCTTCAAAAGAACCTACTATGGATGAAGCAGTTTTCGAAATATTAGATGTAAGAACTGGTAAGAAATGGCAAAGTGTTTTAAATTCATAAGAATTATGGTCTTAATCATGTTATGTATGCAATGACAATTTAAGATTATTAATTGATATCTGGAAAGGCAATTATTAAGCTATTATTGAACCTGATACATATTTCACAGATGAAGAACCTGCTGCTGCTATGGCATACTTTGGATTAGCTGCTTTATCTGGAGCATTTTATAAAGTTAAAAATGGATGGAAATAAAATACTCCTTAATAATTATCTGCATATTTAAATGCATTTTGTTGGAACACTTCATCAAATAAGAAGAATTTATAAGAAATTTTAGCTGTATTTTTGAAATCATTTGAAGGATTTACAGTACTTGCTTAAGCCTTATAATAAAATGTTTAATTAGTTAATAGTTTTGTTAATTTATCTATGTAATTAAATGATAATGATACTTAATAATCAGAAGATCAATTAACATTAATTAAATCAATGAAGCTATCTTCAAATGATACAGAAGTTTTGAACTCACTTATTGATGCTTATTTAGGAAAAATGGATGTATATTATTAATTAGCAGATTATTCTTAAGTTATCAATCCAAGTGCTACAACTAAATTTAAGCCTGTTTAAATGAATAATCTTATTAAAAAAAAGAGAGGAGAAATGTAATAATAAAATAAATAAGATTAATAATAAAATGATTAAAAAAAATAAGAGGATACTAAACCAGAAGAAATAAAATAGGATCCTGAAGCATAATAAATTGATCCATAAAATCAAGTACCTCCTTAAGCTGAATTATAAAATGCATAATCAAGAGAACAAAAATAAAATGTTAAAAAAGGACCTGAAAAGAAAGCAAAATAAAGATTATAAGAAAGTTTTGGTAGTTCAGGAGATAGATACTTTTCAATTAAAACAATTTTATTAAAACTTCTCTATGGATTTGATCGATCACAATTACATTAAATTGAAAAAATAGATACTATTAGATTTGACTTTAGTAAATATTCAGCTTTATCATCTGATCCAAAAAAAATAGATGAATGTTTTATAGTATTACTTTGGTAATTGGCTTAAGCAATTACAAAAGAAACATTGCCTAATGATTTGAGATTACCTATCCTAAGTGATTTTGAAATTCGTTAATAAAATGATTTAGCTAGAGAATATCAAACTAATCTTAGTACCATTAAATTAATAACTCAATTTATAGTTTAAATTGTTAGAGATGATTATTCATTCTTTTTCTAAAAAGATGAGGATATCTCTGTAATTTTATAAAAGTTAGCTTTAACTAAAGATGAACCTATTTAAGAATTACATTTTATTAGAGCTATGATTGGATTGAAATCTAATAAAATGATGCTTATTTAAAATAAAAGAGCTCTTCAAAAAAATAAAAGAAAAATTGATATTTCTAATGAATAGAATGAATTAAAACTTATTAAAGAATAAGTTTAAAATTTAGTAGATTCAAAAATAATTGATATTAAATTGGAGAATAAAACTGATGAAAAAAATAAAAAACTTTCTGAAAATATAGCTTTATTATTTTTAGCAATATCAAGTGGAAACATTGAAAAAATGTATTCAGCAATTTTACCATATGATTCAATGAGTGCTGGATTTATTTTAACAATGTTTATGTGGAAAAACATTTCAACAATTATTGGTAATGAAGAATTTATAAAGAAAGAAAATGCGATTAAGGTTATTCCACCCTTATAATTATTACCTTTATTAGTTTATTCTTAAATTAATGAATAACAAGATAAGAAGAATGGAACTCTTAGAAATAGTTAAAGACAAAGAGTTATCAGTTCTTTCTAATAGATTCTTAGAGTGATCAAAGAGGGAGGTATAGATTAAGAATTCTATAACAAAATTGAAAAGAAATCTTAAAGTAAATAACATCAAACATTTTCTTGGAGTTTATGGCTTTTAAAAATGCCTGAATTCCTTTAAGCATAAAGGGCAATTTAAATGTAAATAAATTTTTCTGCATTGAATGAATGTGATTTCTTATTCAAGATTATGACAGGATCATTCTTTGTTGAAAAGATAGAATAAGTTAAATTTATTGGACCTGTTTTCAATTTGTATAAGGTCTGTAATTAAATCATTAACTATCCTGAAACTTTAAAAATCTAAAATATTGATTTTAAAAAGATCATTCCAAATACAATTACCACAATAAGTGATTATGTACCTGACACTATAAGAACATATTTAGGAGTATTTGATAAATTCGTTTAATTATTTGTTTTCATCTAAATACCAGAAAGATCATTGAAAACATTAAAGGACTCTTCAAACAAATTAGTACAATAACAAAATGAAGTAATTTAAGCATCATAAGTTCAATCTTAAAGAGATGAAGATGAAGATGATGAAAATCAATATGAATATGATGAAGATGGGGATGATTATGAAGGAGATGAAGGTAATAATGAAGAGGAAGATGGAGAATAAGAAGAAAATGAGAATGAAGAAAATGAAGAAAAAAAATAAATGGATGAAGCTCCTGCTGAATTAGCCCAAATTACCGAAACGATTAATGAATTCATTTTGGATGTATTAGGATAAACTGTTAATTCTCTTTGGTTAAGTTTTAAAGAGGAAAACAGATAGTCGTTAAGTGAGTAAATAGATAAACTAAACAGAGAAATAAATGAAAAGAAAGCTAACTTAATAAAATTGGAATAAACAAAAAGATTAAGCATTTAAATGCCTATGTAACCATAATTGCAATAAGGATAAATACCTATGTAATAATAAATGGGAACATCTATTATGGGTTAACCACAAATGGGAATGTAATAAATACCTATGTAATAATAAATGCCCATGTAATAATAAATACCCATGTAATAATAAATACCTATGTAATAATAAATACCCATGTAATAATAAATGCCCATTTAATAATAAATTCCACAGATGGGTAATTAACAATAACTTATGTAAGCTATGGCAGTAGCTTCATAAGGATATAACTTTTAAGAGAAAGATAAGAAACTTAAAGAATTGCAAGTTTAATTGGCTAAGATAGATGAATAATCTACTTAAGTAAAACGGTTAATATCTGGAATTATTTTATTATTGACTGGATATAACATAGATGATATGAAAGCTTAAAATGATAGTGATAAAAAACTCTAAGTTATGTGTTTCATTATTGATTCAGTTCTCTTTAAAAATTTAAACCTATTATAGTATGTGAATACAGTTATTATTCGTGAACTATTCTAAGAAATATAGAATATTAACAATTGCCCATTAAAATCTATTACTAATTAAGATTTCTTATTTTAAATTGAATCTTTATTATATACTTTAACTGGTTAAGATCTAACTAATGAAGTAAAAGATAAGAAATAAAAAGGTGGAATTGTTTAATCAAAAGATAAATAAGCATCAAAATCTGATTAATGGACAATAGCATTACCAAAGAGAGCTAAAATAATAGAATTACCTATGGGAATTATTAAATGTATTTTTGGTTTGGCTAGTTATAATTTTGAATATGTACCAAAATTATTAAAAGAATTATCTGTTAGTGATAGTGCAATTAAGATAGTTGAATAAATTATTAAATAAGTTTAAGAAATGGGTGTATTTGGAGGTAAATAATTAAGTCTTGGGGGATCTTAATAAGATACTAAAAAAGCTAAAGAAATATAAGAATTAATGAAAAAGATTTCAGAAGGAACTGCCACTAATTATGATATGTTTAAAGCTATTGATGGTAAATATATTATATTTATTATTTTAGAGGATGGGACTAAAAGTATCAGTAAGACAGAATATGGAACATTAGCAAAGAGATTAGGAATGAATCTATCTGAGCATAGAATTAATGAAATTTTTGCAAATATTATGAAAGGTTCATCTTCAAGCAATTAAGATTCTTTAAATGAAAAAGAATTTGACTAAGCAATGAAATATCTTTAATAAAAAAACACTGATATGGCTTTAGATTTTCTAGGAATTTCTCCAGGTTTATTAACAATGCTTTTAATATAAGGAGCAATAATCTTATTGCTAATATTTATATTTATTTTCCTTGGAATTTAAGCCTTTGCTTTAGGTGGCACATTTGGTGCAGTTGTAAATAGTATCTTGCCTATGGGTAATAATTAATTATTTATTTCTAGCTGCTGGAGGAGGAGCAGGAAGCAAAGCAGAGAAGGTTAGTGAAAAGAAAGGAGATGATGATTAAATTGGAGATTCTGTTGATAAAACCTAAAAGATTATTTAATCAGATACAATTTGATTATTTATACATATTTAATATCATATTAGTAATTATAAATTAGTTCTTCTTTTGAAATGCTTATTATATAAGCTATTAGATTTGATACTTAAAATACTTAGAAGTATCTTTAACTTAGAAATATATAACTTATATAGATTTAAATATTTATAATTCTAAGTACAAAAAAGAGAATATATTTCAATATTTCTTATTATTTGTCCTTCTAGTGAGAATACTTGAAGTACTTATTGATTTTAGTTTTGGAACTGTGACTATTCTTTACAAAATTGGATCGTAAAAGTGAAAACTAGTTTATTCAATAGTTAATTCTGATGTATCGAAATCCTCAAAGTCTAATACATCATCTTTTATTGGTTTTATAATTGTTTTGAAAGGTGAATTTCTGCATGTGTCTAAAGTAGATTCTCGACTCATTAACAGAGATGATTTAAAGTGCGTAGATTCTTAGCATCCCATATAAATTTAATAATTATTAATGTCATTGTGATGATGTAGTATTTAATTATCATAATAATATTAATTTATATTAAATTAATGACATCTTAGTTAGTAATTAGTTCTATAAAACACATTTAAATCATATGAACTTTTTTTAAACTTAAAACTTGTATTTAAATTTAGTTTTCAAAAAAGGTAATACTTAGAATAAAGTTATAAATAAATTAATCTCAAAAGTATTTTAATTTTTTTGTATAATGAGTTTTGAAGTTTTAATAAAGAATTTTTATAATTCTATTGAAAACAATATATTAAAACAATATTCAATGCAATTTCAATTAGTAACCATATACATCATTCAGTAATTGTTAAGCAAAACTTACACAGTCTTGATAATCTTTGTCATTAAATTGATTCAATTTACGAATTAATTCAATAACGAAATCCCCAGTGATAAATTCTTTGATTTTTTATTTCATATCAGTTTGGTTTTAGAAGAAATGAGAACAATCGAAAATGCAGCAAAGAGTTAAACGAACATATTCCTAGAATAATATTAATTAAATACAATTGTAGGTTTTAATTTTAAATTGCACATTTCTTAACAAAATATGATAAACCATTAAACTGTGTCTCCCAATTCATAAATAGGAGTTTTAGGATCACAATAAGCATGTAACATACAAGTATAGAATGCAGTCATAGTTTCTTTTAATCTTTCAGCATAATCTTAATCAACACTTAATTTGCTTTTGGTTAAATCAATACTAGCTGCAAAACCTAATTTAAGAATTTCTTTAAGATCATTCATAAAGGTTGTTGATTTATCTTTTAAACCTAATATGATATCTGCAATAGCATTATAAACTTATATTTTCAATTCTCTATTAAAACTGACATTCTAATAATATGATACAATGTAGAGATACCTTAATTAATCCAAAGAAATAATTTAATATATTCATATAAGGTACAAATTCTTCTTCCATAGCTCTAGCAATATCAGATAAACAGAAAAGTGCAGTTTTGAAACTTTCCATATCATCTGGTTCAGAGAGTGGTTTATTTAATTCAGAAATAATCTAATTTGAATATTTAGATAATTTTCTTTTAAAAGCATAGGCAATTCCAGAAAGGACATAAAAATAATCATTTTTAACTCTTGGATCAACTTTTGATAAAGTTTTCATAATATCCTCAAATAGTTTTTCAGCAGTAGTAGAATCATCTAATCTTACTACACATCCATGAATTGCACTCATTAATCCCATTTCAAGATGATATTTAATTTCAGCTGGGACTTATTTACTATTTTCTAAAAGTTAAATTTATTAGTAAAATTGTAATAAATAATCATTACACAATTTAGTTTCAGTAACACTATAGATAATATTTAAGATTGCCATAAATGCAGTATCAATAAGTGCAATTTCTGAATTTTGTATATCTGGTCTAACTGATGTGCTGGCTAGATGTTAAAGAATAGTAAATTTCTCTCTTGTAAATACACTATTTTAAAAATTAGTTAATCCTTCAGTTAAATAAACAAAGACCCAAACTAAATTTTATACAATAGAAATTTTATTAGATAATTAATCTAAAAGAGTAGCAAGCATTTAATTAGCTTAATCATGTTCATGAAAGCATTATGGATAATTTTCAGCAATTCTACTTAAAGTTTAAGTTGTTGCTTTTTTTACTTTAATGTTTTAATCAACAAGACAACCAAATATACTAGTTAAAGCAGATTTAATTAAAAGTCCAATTTCTTCTGTTTAAACTTCAGCCAAAGCACCAAAAGCCATTACACTAGCTCTTCTATATTCCCATTATTAGTGTGTGATAGTATTTTAAATAAAATTTTTTACAGTATCATATGTATTAGAACCAGAATATTCAATTATATATGCTAAACCTTTAGATGAAGAATTAGGAACAGATAATCCTTGACATTCATCATCTGCATCTGCATCATCCAATAATAGATTACGCATAAATGGAATTATAAATCCTTCATAATTTTTCTTAAAAAATTAAATACAACAATTAGCTGAATTAATTTCAGGTGATTATTGATTAGTATTTTCTGACATTATTTCTTTTATTTCAGCACATATTGTATTCCAAATTTCAATTGCTGCTATTGTTATTTCTCCTTAATTTTCAAAAGCATTTTATGTCGTTTGATATAAATCTTAAATGAATGCAGGTAAGAATGCAAACAATTATTTAACATAATCAATTAGACATTAAAGAGATCTATGTTTAATTTCTTATATATTTGACATTGCATTTTATAGAATTAAATTTTTTACAAAAGTAAATATTTCCTACAATAAATAATCTTAATTTTACTTATTAAGTGAATAGATTATTCATAAAATAAAGTGAATCTTATAAAGCTTTGATTGCAGTTGTTCTTATTTCAAGATTTTATTCATTTGTATCCATACCAACACAAATTCCCATTAAAATAACTTTTGCATCTTGTTCTGATATTCCTGAAGATTAATTATTTTTCTATATATTAATATCTATATACCAAAGATTCACAAATATAACCTAAAGTCATAATAGCAGAAACTTTAACTATAACATTACTATGTTTTGAGTTTGTAGTTAATCTTGAAATAAGATCTGGCCATTCTTATCGTGGTAATTCAATAGCACAAATCTCACTTATAGTCTAATTTATAATATCATTTATTTACATTAGCTGCTGATCTTCTAATCTCATGTTCAGGATCTATTAATTAATCCATGAACTTAATTTTTACTTCATTTTTAGTTTATTGAGAACAAGCAAGCCACATGATTTGATTGGTTGGATGCTTAAATTCATTAAACAAATAAGCTTACCATTAATGCAACTAATCGTTTTACTAAAGTACTGCAAGCAATTCGTAGACGATTCTAAACTGAGCGATTTGCAAATGCAGATGCGCAATACATCAGAAATTCATCAGTATATTCATCCTTATACTTTAGAAGTACTTATTCAGCTTATCCACGTTAATTGTTGCTATCAAAGAAGGCACATTAAACTAAATCTAAAAATTGTTGTGGCTACATTTTTTGTTTAATTTTAAAATAAATAGTATATTTTTAAATTATGTTTTAAATATGTTTAAAAACAAATTAGGCTATATTTTATATAACAAACATTAATATAATTGAAGGTTATTTTCAGAAAATTTATTGTTGAAATCTTTTTTATATTCAGATTTTTTATATTGATATTTATATCAAATTTATCTATCTGGTTATTAATTTTTAACTTTTCTTTTAGGTTTTGCTTGCATCTTTTCTTCATCCTGTTTATAATCAATTTGCTTTTACATTCTTTTTTATCTCAACTTTAATTTCCTTTCTTATTGTTATAAGTTCTTTGCAAATTTTTATTATTCTATATCATTATAATTTACATTATCTTTATAAGTTTATTCTTTCCTTTTCTATATTTAGCAATCTCTCTAAAAAGATTCTACTTAATTTGTTCTCTTGTTATGGTTATTTACTAAACGACACTTTACATTTCGATTATCTCCTTCTTCTTAATAGATATTGTTCTCAACTTCCATATCCATGTACATCAATTTATAATAAAATGAATTAAAAAATGAATATATATCTATAATCACAAGTAAACTCATAAAATAAAAGTGAAAAATCAAATAATTAAGGTTCTAAATGAAAAATTCTTTAATAAAATAATTGTTAATTTTAGAAAATTATTTTTTATAAAATACGTCATATTTAATTTATTGTTAAATAATTCATGAATTCATTTAGGTTTTAAATAAATTATAATATTTCTAAAAAAAAAATATAATTTTATATAAATGTACTAATCAAGCAAAATAAATAGGATTTAATTATTTTAAATATCATAGGAATTTTTTTAGATTAAATTTATGTTATTAGTATGAAAATTTAATTTAAGGTTGTTCAATTCGAAAAAGTTAAAGCTAACAAATTTTGATCAAATATAAAAAGGAATATTTGGGTTCAAATAAATATATTTATAAGTAAAGTTCATAGTTAAAATATTTAAATTTTAAAAGCAGTGATTTTAATACTTTAATAAAAGTAGATGCTAGAACATTAAAGTGAGGTGAAAGAGAAGAATTTATGATGATATGAATATTTTAAAAGAAAAGCAAATTATTAACATAATAAAATTACAAAGAGTGATTGAATATTGCTTATAAGAAGTTAAGTTTTATTAGAAATGATTTGTTGTAATTTAATCTATAGTTCAATTTGCTATTGAGGATTTTTAAGGTGTTGTAGTTTTGTTACGAGTAAGTTATTATTGTAGGGCATCTTTAACATCAGATTAGAGTTTAACTTATTTTCTGATAGTTTTTGTTTATCTATATTCATCTAAAATTAAATGGGCTTTATGGCGTTATTATTTTTCTTATTACTCTTTGTTGAAAGTTGATTCCATCATCATAGTTTTCTATTGGTTAACTTTTTCAGATGTAATTGTGCATCCCATATTTGTAAATAATTAAATTAAATAAATGAATTGCAGATGTAGAATATAACAGAATTTGGAAATAATAATATAAAGTATAAGAATTGAATGTCTGAACTTACTAAAAGAGATAAATGTTAGATAAACATATTTACAAGGGATATTTATTAATTTAATTAAATGTTTCATTGTGATTCTACTTGTATAACTGGAGTTAGTTCTCTCCTAGTGAATCAAAAATAATCAGTTACTTTTTAACCAAGAACTCTTAAAAAACTTTCTCATCACATTTTTCTAAGCAATCTTTCATTCTATGTGCCCATCCTTTTTGGTTTGCTATTTTTAAGCTGCCACCTTCCATTTAATTATCCTTTAGATTTAATCACTTGATAATACATTTGATTTATCTTAGATATCACATAATTATAAAACATATTACAATGTAGAACCTTAAACAAAAATCTAATAGTTAAATTTGATTAAATAATAGTTTACATTAAATGCAATTATAACTATTGTCATTGTAAGCATGATTTCTCCTTCTTCTTTAAAAGTATCAGCTGAATCTAAAGCTAAGGCATAAGCCATTGCACCTCTTAATCCACAAAACCACATTGCTTTTTAATGATTTTGTTTTATGAAATTATCTTGTCGATATCTATTAAGTATGAAACTATTTATTTTTATATTAATTAATCTAGCAAACACTACTATTATAATTATTGATATCCCTAAAATTATTCCCATTTCTGACCAAGCCAAATCATAGCCAACCATTCCAATCCCTATAAATAAGAATACTAAATTTTCAAAATTGTATGATAATATATGATAGAATTTATTTAATAACTAAAAATAGTAATTTATTTATACTTCTTTTCCACTTTCAGATAAATTAGGTAAAGCATATTTGGCCATTACAATTCCACAAAATACAATACTCACTATTCCTGAAAAACCAACTGCCTCAGAAATTAAATAACAAACCCATGGAATAATTACAGTTACTGAAACTTCAATATGTTCTGTTTCATACGACACTTCTTCTTTTACTTTTAATATCTAAAATATTTATTTATGATACATAGGCACAAAGAGCTCCTATTATTACACCAATTGCTATAGATATTAAAAATATCAACAAAAATTATTTAGTTGCATCTCCAAATCCAACTAATTCTTGATTTCGAATTCTCCCAGATATTCTATATAAATTAATTCATTATTTTATTTACTCATATAGTAATAATGATATGGCATCATTTAGAATGCTTTCTCCATATATAAGTATATGCATTTATTTATCTGCATTTAACTTTTTAAAAATAGATAAGACAGCAACTGGATCAGTGGAGGATATCAATGATCCAAAAGCATAACAACTTGTTAAGGATAATTTCTAAGATATAGTTTATTTTAAATAAATACTTAAATTAGCAATCCGATCAAATATAAGCAAAATGTTGTTACAAATACTGCAATAATAGTCCCAATTACTGCGTACATCAAAATACTGCCAAAGTTTTAAAAAAACAATGCTTTTTCCATATTAATAGCACTTTCAAATAGTATAGGTGGTAATAAGACAATAAGAAAGAATTGACTGAATCCTTATTTATATTCTTATACAAGCATGGATTTGTCAATATATAATAGAAATAAACCTGCAACAATACCAATTAAAGTTGTGATGGTGGTATTGTTTAAATATTTTTTGAGGTTTTGATTCTTCATGGTATAATTAGTTAAGACTTCATTAATAACAAGGAGAGTAAGCATAAATAGAATGGCATTACACAATATTTATACATCCATAATTTTATATATATATATATATTAATATTAAAAATATTAAATGAAGAATTTAAAATAATGTGAGTCAAAAGGATTCATGATTATTTTGTTTAATCAAAGACAAAGCTCTTTTCATTATTTGATTAATATTCATAGCCAGCAAATTATTATTGAGCATTTGGATCTCTTAATAACTAAATATTTTGAGTGATGAGTTCAGCATTTTCTTCATCTTCAATGACAATTTATCTTGAATCAAAGTTATCATCACTAGGATTGGGAACGAATGGAGCTTTTAATTCTCTATTTTAAAGTTTCGACCATGGGAAATTTTTGAACCATGGATGTAATTTAATTTCATGTCCCCCATTGAAACCGAGACGACTTGCTGGTTTGCGTTGGAGTAGCCGATTAACAAAGTCTACAGCTTCCACGCTCCAGTTTTGTGGTATTTCACTAGCTTTAATTTAGACTTGTCGAGCAAGAATTTAATCACGAATCTCTTGACGAGATCTACCAACATATGGACGCTAATTATTTATAAATAAAAGATATTATTACTCTTCCTAACATAAATTCATAAGCAATCACCCCAAGAGCATAATAATCAACAGCAAATGTATGATTTTATCGACACATAACTTCAGGTGCTTATTTATGATTTATGTTATTAATAAATACCCATATAACCAGGAGTCCCAGATGTATCACTTGAATTCTCTTATTTCATTACACGAGCAATTCCTAGATCTGTGATATGTACAAATCCTTTTTCATCAAGAACTAAGTTTTCTGGTTTAATGTCTCTATGAATAATATTATTTGTATGTAAATATTCCAGACCTATAAAAATAGATGCCACAAAGAACTCTGAAATTTTATTAATTATTTACTAGTTTGTTCTTCATTAAAACGTCTCATTCTTCCGATATGGAATCTCAAATCACCTCCACACATATAATCCATTACGAGATAAAGATTTTCACGATCTTAAAATGCATAATACATATTGATAAGAAATGTATGTTTAAGTTAACTAAGTAACATTCTTTCATTCATTACAGAATTAACACTTTTTTTTGTTATCACTAATGCTTTAGACATCTCTTTCATTGCAAATTGTTATCCTGTTCTTTTCACTTTCCAAACTTTCCCAAATCCACCTATACCTATTACATATTCAAATGTAAAAGCTGCTTTATTTATTTATTTCATGTCTGTTTATTTTGGACTTACCACTTCAGCTTCCTTGTTCACCTTTCTTATTTAAGCAGAATCATTTCGAATATGAATTGGACCTGATGGAGTTTTTGCTGACATTGCGATTGCACGAGCTTTAGCTATTAGTTGAGTCATCGAGTCTTTAGATCCCTCAGATGATGTTTATTTCACTTTCTACTATTTCATCAATGTAGCCAATTTCGTTAAATCTATTGAAGAATTTTTATGAGGGTAGAGGGCTTTTGGCAAACTCACTTAAGTTGGAGATACAGCAGGGCTTTAAATTGTATATTAAGAAGGGCTTTTCTATTTCTACAATAATGTATTGATCAGCTTATTATTTGGACTGCTCGCCTAACTCATCTTAGGAGTTTGCTTCATTATATTAATTAATGAGTATTATTGAATTAAGAGTTTCTGGAAGGTAACATCATATTCTTGCCATCATAGATATAAAATAGGACGGAAAATAGGTGCTGGAAGGTTCGGTTAAATATATCATTCTAAGAATGTTTAATCAAATCAGGATGTGGCAATAAAAATCGAAGAAATTAAATCTAAACATCCATAGTTAATATATGAAGGTAAGATCCTCCAAAATTTACAAGGAGGAGTAGGCATTCCATCAATGTTATGGTTATATTGTTTTTTTAATTATAGGTATGGTTAAGAAAATGATTTTAATTTTCTCGTTATGGATCTTCTAGGTTAAAATCTAGAAGATTTATTAGTATCATGCAAAAAAACTTTCACACTTAAAACAGTCCTTATGCTTGCAGATTAATTAATTTCTAATATAGAATACTTGCATTTTAAAAATTACATTCATCGTGATATCAAACCTAAGAATTTTTTAATGGGATGTGGTCAAAAGTCTCATATTGTTTATACAATCGATTTTGGACTTTCTAAACTTTATAGAGATACTCGTACTCATGAACACATTCCTTTAAAAGAAGGAAAATCTCTTATTGGAGCAGCTCGTTATGCCAGTATTAATACCCATAAAGGATTTGAATAATCAAGAAGAGATGATTTAGAATCTCTAGGATATATGCTCATTTATTTTCTTAAAGGAACACTACCATGGAAAGATACTCGAGTTAATAAGAAGGAAGAAAAACACTAAAAAATAATGGAAAAGAAAATATAAACTACTATTGAACAATTATGCAAAGGCATAGATTTTTATATAAAGAATTAGGTATTCCTATAGAATTTTTATAATTCATGAACTATGTGAGAAATCTTAGGTATGATGAAAAACCAGATTATTCCTTTTTAAAAAAGATTTTATAGGAAAGATTTATCAAGGAAGGTTATTAATACGATAATATTTATGACTGGATTTTAATCCCAATGAGTATTCGTAATCCATTTTACAAAAGTAAAATACCACTCACAATTGAATTACTTTAAAACGAAGAGAAGTAAATTAATTATTTAAAATTTGTAGATATTTGAAAGAAGAATATGAGATATTTAAAAATTAAAACTTTAATAATTTATTTGCCATAGAAAAATAGGATAATATTTAAGATCAAGTTTAGTAATAATCAAATTTAAATATTAAATCTATTGAATAATAAAAACTAAAAAAATAACAGATTTAATAGCCAGCTCTACAATAAAAAAAAGATAAAGATTGCATAATATTTTGAAATCATATCGTAATCTATAATAATTTTATTTATCATTATTCATTAATTTATTTTTAAAAGTGATCATTTTCTCTTTAGATTTCTATTTTCATCTCTTTTGATATTTAAGGTTTAATTAATTATTTAGTTTCTAGAGCCTACCAATTAATATTTCCTTAATCTTCATTTAAAATTGCTGAAATTTCAATTTATTGTTATTGATTATGTTTTATACTCTCCATTTGATTTTGACTAACATAAACTAAAAAACATCCATTTTTTAATGCATCTTTTTTCACTATTTCATCTGATTCCTCTCTTATATCTGTATCATTAAATCTATACCATTAATTTAAATGAAAATTGTAAATATAAACATAAAAATGTTTTTGATTATTTTAACTTATTTCAATTATTATTGCATGTATATAATACAAATAACTATTATTATTTTATTCACCATTAACTATTCCATTATTCTCTAAAAAATATTTATCGATCTCTTCTTATATATTCTTTCTCAATAGTTTCATTTACTCAATAATATTTATTTCACTTATCTTACCCTATTGATAACTCTATTCTACTATAATCAAGGAATTAAATAGTTTTAACTCTTAGACATATTTAATTTACATTACTTTCATTGATATTTTTTATTTTTTCATCTTATACAAAACTTAGCAAAGAACTTCTTAATTATAAGAATAATCCATCGTTAACTAAAAATTCTAAATTCATTCTTGAAGGAAACCAATAGTCATACATTTATTCTTTCTTATAATTTTATTAATTATCATTCATAGATTTTAAGTTTAAACCAAATGTTTTTGGAAGTAGATCAAACTTATTGAATTAATCTTTGAAAACAATTTTAAGTAGAGATAAATATATAAATCTATCTTCTCTTTCAATATTTAAATTGATTTCATAATTTATTGAAACATTCTATTAAATAAATTAAAACTAAGCAGATAAAATTAAGTCTTAAAGCTTTTTATTTTCATTTTCATCATATCCATATTTACCTAAAATAACATCTAAAGTTTTTATAAAAATTTAAAATAATGATGATGATTGTAAATGTTCATCAGAAATTTTGGTATTTGTTTACGTTTCAATCAACTCAATAGCATTTTAAATAAAATTTTAATGATTTAAAAATCTTTTTTTTGTGAAAATTAACTATCTTAAAATTATTTATAATTCTTTTATAAATAAAATCTATATTAAAAACTAATTTTTTACATGTTTTTCTTATTACACCACAGTTTGTTATTCTGTTTTAATACTTAATATTCTCTCTAAGAAAGCGGGGTTTTAAGCCAAAATTTACAAAATACAATTGAAATAGCTTTTCTTACCAATATTAACTAGGCCAACTGGTAATTAATAGATTCTATTTTAATTATCAACTTAAATTTATTTTAAAGACTTTTTAAACATTTCATTTTTTTCTTCTATTATTTGATTAGTTTCCTATTCTAGATTATGTATTAATTTTAATTGTTTTTCTATTTCTAAAACATCATTATTTATTGATTTCTGTTAAGACTATTAATTTTTTCTAATTTCGCTTTAGTTACTTTATTCTTTATTTAAACCTGAAATTTGATTAGCTTATTATATTTGTAATGGGATATCTAAATTCTAAATTTAATAATGTGACCTTTCTTAATATTAATTAATGAATGAAGATTAAGATTGCTAATTAGTTGATAAATAGTGCTTAGATACAGGAATATAATCACCTGCACTAAGCAAAAAATCAATAGCTAATTGAGAATCCCAATTATTTTCTTATAAAACGATTATTGCTTATTCTTTACTCTTTTACGTAAAACTACAAACTTGATCAAGGATATTAGTTTATGTTGGAGTTAATTAATTATTATTCATAACTTTAATTATTAGTGAATTATAATTTATGTATAATGAATTCAACATAGAGTAAAATAGTATTATATCGGCGATAAATTCATAAAAATTATTTCCTTGAGGAGATTTTACATATGGAATTGAATTCTATTTTAAATTTGAGACTATAAAATAATAAAATAAATTCAAATTTTCATATATTTAACAATGTCAGATTAAGTTAAAGAATTAATTGAAGAGATGATTCCTAATGTAAGATAATATTCAAAATAATTTAGATTAGAGAAGAAGTTATTAAAGAGTTGAAACCTTAATATGAAGCTTAATATTTAGAATAATTGAATTAAGCAAAACATGAAATTACAGGTTCATAATTTATTAGTAATTAATTGGCAGAAAAACGAAGAGAGGTTAAACTTGATAAATATATATTTTAGTTAGCCTAATAGATTATGAATTAAATTGAATAAGAATTTGAATAGGAAAAATAATCTCTTATTCATAATGTTTCTGTAAGTTTAAGTAAAAGTAGATCTATGCAAGTGTTAGAATAATAGTATCTTTTTATCCTTATTTTAATAGACTAAGATAAAAAATATAAAGAGAATATGCTGGATATGTAGAAGAGGAAGTTAGAAAGAAAACACATTTAATAAAATTGAATTGTTAAAAAACATATGAAGAAGAAAGAATTGAAATGAAAAATTCAATGACTAATGAATTTACTGAAAAATTGTAAATACATTTAGAACAGCTAGAATAAAGTATTATTCATTTATAGTACTAAAGCAAAATCTTAATTGACAGTTGACTATTAGAATTAAAGAGAAAAATTACTAAGAATTGAGTCAGAAACTAAATAGTTTTAATCATAAAAAGAAAACTAGGAAAATGTATATGGATAATAAATTTAAGAAATTCATGAACAAATCAAATTACTTCAAGATCAATTATCATAAATTAAGGCATTAAAACATTAAGTTCCAAAAACAAAGCCTTAAAAAAAAGAAGTAATTTAACCATAATAAAATGATACATAATCTTAATTATCACCATATCAATCAGCAATTAAAAATTAATTACTTTAAGAATGTTTAGTTTATGAAGGATTAAATATAGTTAATTTTGATGAATTACCAGATTTGTTTCATTTAGAAATTAAATCAAATATAGTTGAATAAAAGTAATAAACTTAAAATCTGATACCATAATATGAATCAAATCATATTTAAAAATCAGATCTTATATAAACTATAAATACTCAAATTAATACTCATGATAGTTAAATAGTATCATTTAATGTATCATAGCCTTCAATTGTTAAAAATACTATTAATTAAACTCAAATATAAAATAATACAACTTAATCAAAATAATAGTTCTCATAACATTAATAAATTTAAAAGTAATTATTTATTCAATAAGAAAAAGAGAATGATCCTTCAATTTAAGGAACTTCTAATAATTAAAAACGTTCTTCAGTATCTCCTAATGAATAAAGAAACAGTTAAGATGATTAAACAAAAAAATCTTAATTTATCAATCAATCAACAATAATAGAAAAATTAGAAAGTCTTTGTAAAGAGAAAATTAGATAATCTCAAAATAACAATAATTAGAGATAATCAAAAATTTAATTACCCTCAGATCATTTTGAAGAACTTTTTTAGATAGATTCTAAAGATAATTAAACAAATAGAAATATTAAACTATTAAGACAGGAACTTTAGACTAAATTTTTAGAAGATATTTAATTAGAAGATTATTATTTTTAATAAATTACTTTTTTTAAACTTAATTTTATTTAATAGTTTCCAAAAAATTAATAATCTCAAGTAACAGAATAGATTTAAGAATTAATTTCTATTTGGAATAAAGGACATTTATCTTTTTCTGAAAGAATAGATTATATTAAGAGAGTAATCAACAGTTCAAATTCAATTTTAGAATTAGGGTAGATTTTGGAAGAATGTTTAATCTATTATTAATAAAGTATGTATTTTTCATTAAAATTTATAGATGAAACATTAATAGAAAAACTTTAGTAAAGATAATCATTTAGATCATAAATTCTAAAAGAAAATTATTTATGCTAAAAAAATAAAAAAATATTTGTTGCATTAAGAAGTTTAACTAATGAAATTAAAGGTTTACTAAAATACAAATTCTTTTGGAGAGAAGTTGATGTTGATTAGATTATAATGATTGATTAATTTGAGTAACATCTCATTGAAAGAGAGGAAATGAAGGAAGAAATAAAAAAGAAAGTCGAAAAAAAGTTTAAATGATTATTATTATTTACTCTAAATGTTTGCTTAATCAAGTTATTTTTAATTTATATTAAATTATTCTTTTATAATAAAATTCTTATCATAAAATTCATAAAAACTTAAAATTAAATTCGCTGAATTAAAATGATTTTTTTAAAGGAATGAACAAAAGGAATCCTCTTTATGTAATGAAAATAAATGTATCAAAATACTTTATTAAAATTGAATTTAATATGAATTGTCAACAGAAAGTAGCGAAAAAAAAAAAAAAAGTCCAAATTTTTAGTTTTCAAATTAATTACGTTAAATAGCAAAAAAAAAGATCTATCTAAAGACCTTATAAATTACCACTATTGTTTAAATTAAACTTGATCTTTTAATAAAATAATTAGAGGAAAAAATTTAAAAGTAAACTATATGTTATACGTTACATTTAATTTGAAAGATAAATAAAATGATCTCTTTTGTANTAATTAGAGATAATCAAAAATTTAATTACCCTCAGATCATTTTGAAGAACTTTTTTAGATAGATTCTAAAGATAATTAAACAAATAGAAATATTAAACTATTAAGACAGGAACTTTAGACTAAATTTTTAGAAGATATTTAATTAGAAGATTATTATTTTTAATAAATTACTTTTTTTAAACTTAATTTTATTTAATAGTTTCCAAAAAATTAATAATCTCAAGTAACAGAATAGATTTAAGAATTAATTTCTATTTGGAATAAAGGACATTTATCTTTTTCTGAAAGAATAGATTATATTAAGAGAGTAATCAACAGTTCAAATTCAATTTTAGAATTAGGGTAGATTTTGGAAGAATGTTTAATCTATTATTAATAAAGTATGTATTTTTCATTAAAATTTATAGATGAAACATTAATAGAAAAACTTTAGTAAAGATAATCATTTAGATCATAAATTCTAAAAGAAAATTATTTATGCTAAAAAAATAAAAAAATATTTGTTGCATTAAGAAGTTTAACTAATGAAATTAAAGGTTTACTAAAATACAAATTCTTTTGGAGAGAAGTTGATGTTGATTAGATTATAATGATTGATTAATTTGAGTAACATCTCATTGAAAGAGAGGAAATGAAGGAAGAAATAAAAAAGAAAGTCGAAAAAAAGTTTAAATGATTATTATTATTTACTCTAAATGTTTGCTTAATCAAGTTATTTTTAATTTATATTAAATTATTCTTTTATAATAAAATTCTTATCATAAAATTCATAAAAACTTAAAATTAAATTCGCTGAATTAAAATGATTTTTTTAAAGGAATGAACAAAAGGAATCCTCTTTATGTAATGAAAATAAATGTATCAAAATACTTTATTAAAATTGAATTTAATATGAATTGTCAACAGAAAGTAGCGAAAAAAAAAAAAAAAGTCCAAATTTTTAGTTTTCAAATTAATTACGTTAAATAGCAAAAAAAAAGATCTATCTAAAGACCTTATAAATTACCACTATTGTTTAAATTAAACTTGATCTTTTAATAAAATAATTAGAGGAAAAAATTTAAAAGTAAACTATATGTTATACGTTACATTTAATTTGAAAGATAAATAAAATGATCTCTTTTGTATAAATATTAAATTTAATAATAATAATACCATTTGAAAAATAATTAAGCATTATGTGTGATTAAATGTTAATGATTGAATAAAAGAAAAGAGCAAAGAAAATTATAATTAATGATAAAAGAATTTAAGTTTGATGGTGTAAAAAATTATACATTAATAATGAATAAATTTGCTATAATATTTTTGATATATACTAAAAAATATTTAGTCTTTTTGTTTTATTTTAATATTAATTGATAAAATATTTAATAAAAGCATGGCAACATTTTAAGAGAGGTTTAAAGGGAAAACAACAGTGATGGGCAGAAATGGATTAGAATCAGTTTTGAATACATGTTAATAACCCATCAAAAAAGAAGTTGATTGTATGATTATCAAATAATCAAGATCAAAATAAACCACCTCTAATGTATTAGGCTTTATAGTAATAAATAAACACTTAAATATCTCCAATAAAAATATAATATAACAAGCATTCCAATAATTAAATGTTATATAAACATCATCCATATATTGGAGAACAATAAATATAAGATTCTCTATAATATTTAAATCAATAATAATACTTTTAGCCAATAGAAAATTATTAAGTATCAACAGAACCATAAAAAAAAGAAGAAAATCGATCAAAATCAGCAAAATAGTAATTAGATTCAGCAGATGAATCATAACGTTATAAACCTTATACTTTGAAGGATTATGAAACAATGAAGCGGACAGCAAATGCAAAATTAGGAGGATTAGGTCCTAATTTAAGTGGAGATGAATGGACAAAAGAAAAAGAAAAAGTATTAAAACGTCAAGAATTTGCAGAATAAGTGAGATAATTTAATTCAACAAATATTATAACTACAAGAATAAAAGAACCTAAGTAATCTGAACCTAATGCAAGGTAATATATTTTTAAAATTTAGAACAAAAGCAATGGATTTTGCTAGAAATATTCCTAAACCATAATAACCAAGAAAAAGAGAAGAATAAATAGTAAAAAGTGTACCAAATAAACCTTCAGAAAAGAATAATATAAGTAGAGATCCTTTTGATGATGAAATAGCTCGTCTTGAGAAAGAACACTTAAAATATTTAAACTAATTAGATAAAATGAAATGAATTTTATATATATATATAAATATATAAATAACTAATGAGTCTTGAAGAATTTGATGCATTTACTTCTTTAAAAGCTTTAAGAGATTTAAAAAAGTAAATAGAAGCTAAAGCTTAAGTTGATTAGAAATCTAGAGTTGCATTACAAAATATATAGAAAGCATAACTTTTAAGTTAGTATGATTTGAGAATGCAATTTTAACATTGGTTAGCTAAATTAGGAGATTTAAGTACTAAATAAATTGCATACTCAAATATATTCTAATTAGTTTAGTAAAATTAATCTTAACCAAATCTTTAATTATTGATTACTTGTTTATAAACTCCTATTAATGGTAAAGGAAGTGAAAGTATTATAAAAACAATTAATATAATTGTTGGAATATATGGTGATACAATTAGTGTTACAGATGTTTACAAATTAATTGAAATTATGCTTAAATACTTCAATGTACTATAAATTTAGAACTATATAGGACTCAAATAATAATGTCTAAGCAGCAATTAGTGAATGTTGGTCTAATATTTACATAAAGAATATATCTAAAAAGCCATAATAATAAAGAGTATTGTTAATGTATTCAACTCTAAGTTAATTAATTGGATCTGGAGGAAGTAGACAAACATAAGAAACTGCTACCATTGTGTTAGCATAATTATTTGAAACATTAACAACTGCACAAGATTTAACATTTTTAAAAGATGTTGTAAAAGATTATTTAGCAATTTATTTGGTATTTTAATTATGTTAAGAAGAAATAACAAATAGATCATTCAGGATTCTACACTATCATGTTTTATATTATTAAGACTTTACAAATATAAAGTTTTGCTAGTTAATAAATTCAAATTATTGATAAAACACTTTAAGGAATTAATAATTAGAAACTAAATTACAGAGTAATAGTTAATATATGATATTATTTTAGACAAGAGTAGGAGCATTAAATCTTATGAAATTAATTGCTTCTCAATATTAAAACTCTAATTTTAAAATTGCCTTAGGAAATTTGCATGAATAAGTTATCATTGTATTAGAAGATTCAACCAAAGATAGAGTTATTGCAGTTTAAAATGCTGCTAGAACAGCTTTAAAGGAATGGATGAGATTGAAATTATAAGTTGATTGTGAAGTAATCCCTAATCCCGTTTCTCTTGATTAATCTCCAGGCTTTTTAAAAAAATAAAGTGGTACTGGAGGTGGATAAGTTTATGTAAATTAGAAAATACAAAATTAATAATAATTTAAACAAGATATTAAGCAAGTATTAATCGAGGATCAATTTGAAAATACAGTTGATTATACAAATATTATTCATGAACCTAATCTTAATGTATGGCAAAAAGCAATAAGACTTTAATAAGATGGTTTACTAGAGGATGCAGTTGAGCTTTTACTTCATGAAGGAGATGATCTATATTTAATAAGATTCTTAATGGGTTATAAAAATTACTCTTAATTATTTGATTTACTTTCAAACTCTTTAGCTTTGTAATTGATTGATACTTTAATATTAATCTTAGAATCTGATTTTCTTAACATTTTATGTTTAGATTTCATATAGTAATTTATTGATTGTGGTTTGGGGGATTGGTTTAAAGATACTGAATTTGTAGATTATTTAGAGTATAATACAGAGCAAAATTTACCTTCCACTCCTTTATGTAAAAAAGTTAGAGACTAATTGAAGTGATTATATATCAATATTAAATTAAATTTTCCTTTTAATGGCATCAAAAAATCCTTTAGATTAAAAATCCCAAATCATTGATAACAAAAAAGTATTTTTTTTTATTCTCTACAGACACCTATTTCGATTGCCTCCTCAGATGACTGCATTGAGTTAAGACCATAAGAATATAAAGGTTATAAATTTAATATTTAGTGAGCATTCTAAAACATAAATTAAAAAAAAAGTAACAAAATTATTCAGAGACTAAAATATTATTTGGATTTCGATTTAATCTTCAAAAAGCCATATGTTTAATTTGCAAATAGGAAGGCCATGTAAATTGTTGCCAAAACAATTTCCAATTTGATAATATTTATAAATAATGAATTGGATAATTCTTGAAACTTTATCAATATATATTAAGATTATTAATTATAGAAAGTATATATTAGTATTCATTTCTTTTAAGTTATCAAAATTTCATCAAACATTTTGTAATGTATTTTTTACAAAAAATCTCATAAAATTTTTATTAAATAATATTAAATGGAAGTCTAATAATCTTTAACAGTTTGTGTTACTGGTGCTGCGGGATAAATTGCATATAGTTTTATTCCATTACTTTTATCTGGTTAAGTTTTTGGTTAAGTTAAAATACATTTGAGATTATTGGATATTCCAAAAATGGAAACAGCATTAAAAGGAGTTGTAATGGAAATTGAAGATTGTGCTTATCCTTTAATTGGAGATATTTAATCTGGTTCAAATCCTAAAGAATTATTTAAAAATTGTGATTTGATTGGTAATAATAATTTATATTTTAGTGTTTTTGGGAGGATTTCCTCGCTTACCAGGAATGGAGAGAAAAGACTTACTATAAAAAAATGCTAATATTTTTAAAGAGTAAGGAGAAGCATTATAGGAAGTAGGAAAAGAAGATGTAAAATGTTTAGTTGTTGCAAATCCTGCAAATACTAATTGTTTAATTTTAAGTAGATATGCAACTAAGTATATTAACAATTTTAATTTAGAATTCCTCGTTAAAATTTTACTTGTTTAACTCGTTTAGATTAGAATAGAGCATATGCTTAAGTTGCTTAAACATTAAATAAACCTTTAAGTAGCCTTAAGAATATAATAATTTGGGGGAATCATTCTACTACTTAATATCCATCAATTGAACATGCAACAGCAGATGGATAATCTTTTGTTTTATCAGATTAAGGACAGTTTATAGAAAGAATTCAAAAAAGAGGAGCAGAAGTTTTAAATGCTAGAGGTAATAGTAGTGTTTTTTCTGCTGCAAATGCTGTAAAAGGTCTTTTTTTATTAATAATTATTATAGATCATATAAAAGATTGGTTTAATGGAAGAGAAGATACTTTATTATCACTTGGAGTTCTTTCAAATGGAGAATATGGAATTTAAAATGGATTGTGTTTTTCATATCCAATTAGATGTCTTGGAGCATTTAAATATGAAATTGTTTCAAATTTAGAATTGAGTGACTTTTCTAAACAAAAACTCAAAGTAACTGAAGAGGAACTTATATAAGAAAAGGGTTTGGCAGAATCAATTTGATAGATAAAGGTTTTCTTTATAAAAATAAAATATTAAATTTAAGATTTACTAATAAAATCATATTAATATAGATGCAAATCAAAAAGTGGATTCACATTTTTACAAATTTAGATTTTTAAAAATGTACCTTCTTCTTATTTTTTTGTTAAACAGATTTTTAACTTATCGTTTTTAAAGATGATTGTTATCTAAGAATTCCTTTTTTAGATGTTTCTGTCTTATTTATAGAGAAATCTAAACTATTTCTTTGTGTATTATAAGATTATGTTCTTTTAAGAGAACCTTCTAAAAAGGATCCATTAGAATCTGAAGGTAATTCATCATCAATGAACTATTTAGATTATTAGACTAAAATTTTAGAAATGTCTTATTTAGAAGGGCAATGCGTATAAAGTTTAGCATTGCATTGAAAAGGATAAGCTCTGAGATCATAGTGATCCAACAATAGTTAAGGAGATTATTCAATAGATTGTTAATTTAGAGCACAAGCAGTTCCCATTAAAAGTTTATATTTAAATATATTAAAAAATGAAAATTTCTCTTAATATTTTGTAGGTTTAATAAGAGAGTTTTATTTTTTAATAGTAAAAGTGAAATTTAAAGTAGATAAATCATTTTTAAATAGTATTAAAATAAGTATAAGGTATTAAAGATAAATGTGATATAATTTAGGAATCTAAAAATGTAAAAGATTTCAATATTTATATATATTAATAATATACTAAATATATTAATATTGATTTAAAAATTGATTTATAAGTTAAATAGTTGATTGAATAAGTTATCATAGAATAGATTTGATAAATATATTTTTTTTTGATTATTTATAATGATTGATATCAATGATGATGATGATCTCCAACTGATCCATGTCTTTTTGCCACAGCTTATTTAGATTCTGCTTCAACTCTTTCAATATATGTTTTAGCTTCTAAATTCATCAATTAAATATGTTTATTTTATTCTTCATAAGCTTCTAAAAGTTCTGTAGCAAATGATTTTTCTCCAGGAACCATTTTTTAAATACCCATATCTCCTGTAATACCTTTAAATGATATTAAATATCAATTACTTATATCTAAGAAATGCTTAACTAAGAATGGTCTTTCTTGTTGTACTTTTCTTGGATAGTTTATAATAGGATTTTTTAAATAATCAGGTTGAATATTCCAAAATCTAGCTTCATAAAATACTTCATAAGTAAAAATAGCTGCTACAAAAGCTGCAGCAATATATTTAGAATCAAGTATCATATATTTAACAGTATTCTAAGCTGAACGTAAATATGCCTCATCTAAGATCAAATTAATAATTACTCTAATTTATAAAATATTCAGGCATCACACCACAATAAAACCATAAATTTGTATCAAATACATCCATCTATAAAAATAATTAAATAGTTATCTACTCTTCTTTTATGTTAATATGCAACTGTTAAAGGTACATCTGGTCTATCCCATCCATGACTACCTCTTATTGCTATACTTTTTGAGGCATTTCTTCTCAATATCACACTCAACATTTCAATAAATAATTTAATATATATATATATATATTTATTTTTATTTGTAATATAAAAATATATAAAGTTCAATTCATCAATAATCAATTTATCTTTAAACTATATTATTGAAAATTAGTTTATGTTATCCTATAGGCTTACCATTTTTAAATTCACCTTCAACTATCAAATCTGGTTTCTTATCTTCTTTATATGTAACTTTAACATTTTTATCATGTAAAACATCATCTTTAAAGAATCCTTCATAAATTATTACTTTTTTCAACTTTACTTCTTTCTTTTTTAATTAATTATTTAATTCTATCTCTTTCTTTAACATACCTTATCCTTCTTTCTTATTCTTCCTCCATTCCCCATCATATTCAGATTAATCATCATATCTTTTCTTTCCTTTTCCATGAATAAATCCAAAAACAAAATTACCTTCATAAAATTCATATTCATTAAAATTATAAATATTACCACAAAACTATTTTTTTTAAGGTTAATACCATTTCAATTTTCCCATTCCATGTTTTACTTAATATTCTTAATTATAGTATCCTATATATTATGTCAATTATCCTTAATCATTCATTTCTAAAACCTATCCCCAATAAAATTTACCTTATTTAAAATACCCCTTATAAATTGATGAAAATAAACTCTTTCTCAATATTCCTATTCCATCAGGTTAATCATTTACAGTTTCACCTTTATATTTTGAACCTTTATAATCAAAATATAAGACTTTCCTATTTTTATTCTATTATTAATATCTTTAACAATCTTCTGGAATTTAATCTTAAATTTAATATGATACTGAAAATAATTAAAATTATTTGATATATTTATTACATGAATAAATCTCACCATTATTATCTTCAGCTAATTTATTTATTATTTACATATATGCATCTGAAAACTTATTATTATTGCTATTCTTTGAAGATTATTATTTTTAATTATATTTTTCATTATCTTCTCCTATTTATTTTTTATTCTTTTTATCTTATTGATTTATAAAATCAATTTATTCTTGTATTGATTTCTTTTATCTTTACTATGCTTTATATTAAAAAGTTTCTAAGACTTTTTTGTATTTCTATCTTTCTTCTTCATTTAATTTTTTTAAGTCATCATTAGATAACAATTTATCGTAAGAAGGATTCTTTATAAAATCAATCAATTTTTATTTTATTACTTCTTCCTCTTCCTATTTCTTGATCTCTTACAACCTTCTCTCAATTGCTGATTATTAAACTAATATTCTCTTAGCTAATCTTTTATCTTTTGGAATATTTTATATTAAATTTTAATATATCTTAAGTTCTTCTTTATTTAGTAAGCCAATTTCTTATTCTTTTATAATATTTTATATTGTTTTATTATTTTTTAATTTTTTTAATCCATCTTTTACTTCTATTGTTTATTATATTTAATTTATAATAATCTTATTATCTATTATTTTCTCTTTAACTTATTTTAATTAATCTTCATTTAATATATTAAGTATATGAGGGTTATTCTCAATTTCATTATTATCGAAAATCTTATCAACTTCTTATTTTTTTAAAATAAATCCTATACCATCATTTACATCTTCAATTAATTTAAGTTTATCATTATGTTCTTGATTCTCTATCTCAATAGTAAATTACTTTATTTATTAATAATCTCCTTAAATTTCTTCATCTTCTAAGATTTCTGTTGGATCAATCCTCTTCTAATCTATTTTGATGAAAATTTTTTAAATCATTTTTAATTACTCCAATATATTTTTTTATTCTTGATCTTATAATTAAGTGACCCCATCATCTAATATATGCTTTATTATTTATATAGAGAATGGATTAGTTTTATTCTACTCTATTAAATTATATTCTGGAACTTCAAAAATAGGAATCACTGGTTATTTTTACCCATTTTAGACAACATATATTGTTTTTTATTATTAATTTCTATTTTAATCTACATTAACTTTATCTTCCTAATTAGTAATCTCAACCAATAATTAATTTTCTTCATTCTGATTAAAATTAAATAAATTACTATTCCTGTTAATTTGACTTTCAATATCTTAATTATCTTCAATTTCTACCAATCCATAGATTTAAGATTTTATGATTTGAATATCATTTGTTACCATTTCCTTATAAAATTCACTATCTGTAACTTGTTTATCATTTTCTGTTATTGGAACTTTATCATGAATATTATTCAAATATTAAACTTCTAAAAATTAAAATGGTTAAGTTTAATTTTAATTAATAATTGGTGATTAGTTATGAGTATCTTATTCAACCTCATTAATTTATACTAATTTAATAATTTATAATTGATCTGTTCTTTCATTTTCATTTCTTAATTATTATGTGTTAATACTTGTAATTTCATTATTATCATCTGAAATTGGTTACAGATTTATTGGATTAAATTGAATTGTATTATCATTATTAAGTTGAAATTATGATTAACTTGGTATAAATTATTGATTTTAATTATTAATTAAATTATCTTCAATTTAAATTCCTTCATTAGTTTATGTGTTTAATTCATAATTTGTTACAATAATAGTCGGTATTCTTCTATCTCCTTTATTAGATGTAGATTCATTAAACTCTTCTAATGGATTATCATTTTTTTTAAATTCATAAATTTAAGTTTATGGCATTTTTCTTGAATTAGCTGAATAATTTCGACTTGAAGGTAATTAAATTGGAATTAAGGTTAAATTACCTTTTGGTTTTTATTCAGTATAATTAATAATATCAATTAAATGATTTGTAGTCCTAACACTTGAGGCATCATCACCAGGTTAAGATTAATGTTAAAGTTTTTCAATTTCTTATTTTTCAAGATAATATTAATTTTCTGGTTTATAAGAGTGAATTGAAATAGCATCATCATTCACATGATCAAAAATCTATTTGATTATAAAAGTTGATTCCATAAAGGATGATTCAGTATTAACCATTTATTTTGATTTTATAAAAGTCTAATATACATTTTCAGGATCTTTCTTTTCAATCAATAAAGAATAGATAGCTTAAGAAAAGATGCCAGCAGAATACTATTTTAGATTTTCAATTTTCTGAAGTAACAATTAATTGTTTAAACCATAATAATTTATTATTTTATCAGGCAATTTTTAATTATTTTCAAATACTTGAATCATCATCATAGATAGTGCCCAAGTGTCAATACTTTTTCTAAATTTTTAATCAGAAAAATCTAATTCATTCCAATTTCTATAATCTATATTATCATCTTTCATTATTTCTTAATATTTTTATGGATAGAAGAATATTAAATTATTCTACCAATCTTTCTTAGCTTAAGAGGTATAAACTTTTATAAAATTTTAATAATGAGTTCTTGCACTTCCAAAATCTGTCAAAAGAACTTGTTTTTTGTAATACAAAATATTGTTTGGTTTAAGATTTGTATGTTCAAATTGAGATTTAAACAAAATACATGCAATTTGTAATAGTTATTCAAATATTTGTACTTATTCTTAGTAGGAAACAGAGTTATCATTCAAGTATTAAAATAATGGTACTGCTTCAACTTCACAATCATATGTTATATACAAATTTCTTTGATGATTATTTATTTAAACTGTGTAATTTAAAATGGTTAACACTTTGCTTGGATATTTAGAAGATAGAATTCTTTAATTTAATAGTTCTTAAGTTACATTATTCCTCCAAGTTAACCATTCCTTTTTAGTTTCAAAAACTTTTCTTTTAATAACTTTGTTGTCTTTTGATTTAAACAAATCAGAAAAAAGAGTAGTTGTTCTTGGTAATATTGAAAGTGGTTCATTAAGACTTTTGAAAGTCTAAATTTTTATTTAGAAATTAGTATCCATAAAAAATGTTCAATGAATTATTAATTACCTATTCAATTTACAAATTCTTTTTTTTTAAACTAGGAATTATATTTTATAGAGCAATATAAAAAAATTCTAATAGTAAAGTAGATATCTTTATTATAAAAAAAAAAAAGTAGTAAACATTTTTAAAAGTGAGTATCAAAAATACAATAAGTTTAATATAATCACTAATTGTCTAAATATTGACAAATAAAAGAAAATAAATAATCAAGGATTAAAAAAGTACATCTATTAACAATTAATTACCATATATTTTATTCACATAAGTATTGGATTGCAATATTAATCCATATTTGTTATCCTCCATTCAAAGGAACCAAAAGCATTATTAACATATTTAGTTTACCTTCAAATCTTAAATTGAATAAATGAATAATTTTTCAATCTATAATTTATTTAAATGAATAAATTTCCATCGTCAGAACTCTTCAAATGCAAATTTGATTATCAAAATTTTAATTTGATTATTGTTATAATATATTCAGCAATTTTATTTTAATATAAGGTTAATTTATACTCTAAATGATTGATTTAAATAAATCATTCTTTCTTTTAAATTAGATTAGATACCTGATATTCTATAGGTTTCAAATGTATTTTAAACATTCAATTTGAAAGAGGAGGAAGAAATAATTGAAAATAAAGAATAATGAATGTTTAAATATAAGTTATTAGTTCCACTTGAATTTTAATTTGATTATATTCTGATAATTTATTATGATGTAATAAAATCGAGGAGGTCCCCAAAAAAAATATACACTAAATCTACATAACGCAGCAATTGATTACATAGATAGAATACTATCAGAGGTGTCAGGTTTTTGTATCATTTATAATAGGAATGAAATGTTTGATTCTTGATTAAGAAACAATCGGCATTATTTCACTTATTTACTCTCAATCTTAAATACTAAAAAAAGATGTTTATTTAATGGAAAAGATTGAGGCTGCTGCTTCAACTAAATAAAAGCTTTAACATATGAAGGCAATTTTTTTGATTCGACCAACTTAAGTATAGTATGCATTTTAAATTTTTAGGAAAATTAAACTTTGCTTCTATAAGAAATTAGAGACAAAAGATTTTGTGAATATTATATATTCTTCACCAACACTTTAAGCAATTTTTATATTGAATAATTGGCAGAAGCTGATGGATCAGATTTAATTAAATAACTTTAAGAAATCTTTTTAGATTATTATATAGTATAACCTGATACTTTTACACTTAACATACCTTCTACAATTACATTAACTAAAAGTGTTTCTTAATGGAATTCTAAAGATGATTAACTCTTTTAAAGAATTCTTGAAGGATTAAGTGCTACGATTTATAGTCTTAGAAGAATTCCTATGATTAGATATTAAGGATCAAGTGAAATATGTGCTAAATTGGCATAAAAGTTAAGTTAAACTATGAGAGAAGAATATGAATAATCTTAATCTTAATTTATGCTTTCAAATTGTTTACTTTTGATTTTAGATAGAAGAGAAGATCCAGCAACATTATTATTAAATTAATGGACATATTAGGCAATGCTTCATGAATTAATAGGAATTCAAAATAATAGAATTGATATTCGATAAGGTTAAAAAGCATTAAATTAAGCAGTTGTATCTATATTATTTTAATTCTTTTTAGAATATTAATAAAAATGATTCTGATAGTGAATTTGTAATATCTTCTTCTTTAGATGATTTTTTTGGTGAAAATTAATATTCAAATTTTGGAGAATTAGCTTAAAATATCAAAGATTTTATTGATAAAGTAACATAATAGAAAAAAGAAACAGTTTAAATTAATTCATTAGAAGATATGTAAAAAGCTGTTGATAAAATTCCAGAAATTAGAAAAATGAGTGGTAATTTATCAAAACATGTTGCATTAAGTTGTGAATTATCAAAATTAGTTGAAGAAAGATAATTATTAAAAGTATCTAAAGTTGAATAAGATATTGTTTGTAATGAAGCAAAATCTGAACATTAAAGAGCTGTATTTTAAATGCTTGAAGATAAAAATATTTAAAAATATGAAAAGTTAAAATTAGTTATGTTATATGCTTTGAGATATGAAAATTGTGATAAAATTTCAAAAATGAAGGATGTATTAAGAGATTTAGGTATGACAAATAATAATCTAAATTTAATCAATCATCTTTTAGACTATTCTGGTAAAGCTAAAAGATAAGGAGATTTATTTAGTGATAAAAACATATTTTCAAAAGCTTAATAAAAATTTAAATCTGTTTTTAAAGATGTTCCAAATATTTATACTCAACATTAACCATATTTTTTAACAATTTTAGAGTAAATTCTAACAAATAAAATTAAAGACAATGAATTTCCAGCAACAAATTTGAATTATTTTAGGGAAAGACCTACTGAAATAATTATTTTTTAAGTTGGTGGAACATCTTTTGAAGAAGTTAAAGAAATTGGATTATTAAATAAATAACGTATTTAATTTAGACTAAATTATTAGCTAATTAACCAAGTATTTTATTAGGAGGTACATACATTCATAACTCTAAAACCTTTCTAGCTGAAATTAGTTAATTAGCATTTGGTGATAATATTGATGTAGTTGTGGATAAATCCAACCCTAGAAATGATAATAAATTTCATAAATTTTGATTGGAATAAAATTGATATTATTTTAAATACACATTAAACTTATCAATAAGAATTATTATAATTAAACAAATAAAATGGCTACTTATTTTTTAAGTGGCTATTTAAATGATTATTTTTAGATTGTTAAATCATTTATTTTAAAATACAACAAACTGGTTTATTATATCTAGAGAAAAAACAAGGTTAATCACATTTCTTTGCATTTAAAATTGCACTGTATCCAAAAGTAAGAGCATTCTAATAAATAAATATTATAATAAACTTTAATGTTTTTAATTTTAAAAGTACTACTAGCAATATTATTATTTTTATTATGTAAATCCAATATAAATAATTCTTAGTATCCTTAATCACTAAATTTAATATATAAGTACTTACAATTAAAAATATTATTATTGATAAATATTTGGTTCATCAATTTGCATATTTTCTGACTAAGATGGTACAATATTAATTATTTTGTTATAATAATCTATATCTTAACTGTAGAGATCAAAAAAATCTAAAAATATTTTACCAATTTCTTCATTATCATTATCTCTAATTCTTTTAATTTATAGCAATGCAAGAATCATGGTTTAAATACAATAACTATTCAAACCACCCTAATAAATTTACTTAATACTTAATAAGCATTCAATAGATTTATTGATTTAAAGTAGAATTTTAGCATTAAAGCCAAACTTTTAAATTATTTAAATTCTTTTTCAAATTCAATCATAGAATTTGCAGTCTTCCTTCCTTAGTGATCATTTCTACTAATAGTAATATCAATATGTTTTTCTTTAAATTCTTTTGAAGATTACATTTTTAATACTGGTTTCTTAGCATTATCAATCACTTTGACATCTTTAATGAAGCTTGCTATCTAAATATGAATTCATATATATATATTATACTTTAAATTATTCTGCAAGTTTGTATAATAAAATTATTTCTTCATTTTCATTTGTTTCAATAACTATATCAATATCTGAATCTAGTAAATTTAATCCTGTATAACAAGAGCCATAAAGAAAAGCATGTGCTTTAGGTTAAACATTTTAAACTATCTTAGAAATAAATATTTTTATTTAATACTTCATCAACTAATACTACTAATTTATCGATGATTGGTTTTTACTCATCTAAATATTTACTCAATTCCTATGTAAATGTATTAATTTCAAATGTAAGTTGTCTAAAAATAATTAAATATTTTTTAATACTTAACAATATCATCTAAACTAATTTTATGATAAGGTAAGGTTTATTTGGAATCAAAAATTAATTAATTATAAAATGGTTAATTGATATAAGTTGATTCTATAACCTAGATCTCTATTTCTTTTTTTTCTTTTATATCAGTCTATGTTTCTTATCCTGTTTATTCGATAATTTTTATAAGCTTCTATTAAATTTCAACTTATTCTTCTTATTTGTTAATTTTTTGAGTAATTTCTTATAATTCTTCCTGTTTCTTTTTTCTATTAGGAGATTTCATGAATTAATTTTCTTCTTAAATCAATAATTCTCTTGTTTTTTCATTTAAAGCTACATCAAGAGGAATTTGATTTTATTTATTTTTTTTTTAAAAAAGACATTCTCTTTAACATATCTACTTAATGATAATTAATTCTCCTTTACGAGATGCTATGTGTAAAGCAGTATCACCAAATTCATCTTAACCAGAAGCTCCATATTTTTCTATGATTTTTGAAGCTGTCTTATAATTACCTTTTTATAAGGACTTAATTAAATGTTAAGGTTTATCGAGAGATGTAATTTATAAAAGAGTTTCAACAATATCCCAATTGTCTTATTCAGATTAGATTGCAATATCAAGTGCTAGTTTAATTTATTTTGTTTCTATTTTCTCTTTATATTTTATTATTTCATTCAAAATACTTATCTTGGCTGTTTTGGCTGCTTAAACAATTGCTGTATTACCTTAATTATCTTTATAATTAAAATCAATAGATTATCTTTAAGTTTGAAATATATATACTTTAAAATTTACTAAATACATTGAAAATGATCTTCACTATCTCTAGTAAATTGTATGCATTCTAAAAAGGCTTAAGAATAAGTTGTTTATGATATGTGATTAGTTCTAATATATTCTTCTAAATAAACATATTATCCTAAAGAATGCTATTTACTAAATACCTAAATTTGTGAATTCGACAATCTTTTGTTGATGAATTAATTATTATTGCATTTGGTGCATAAACTTTATTTTAATAATAGTAAAATATATCAAAATGAAAAAATTAATATATAATTAGTATAAAAAATTTATAATTATTTATTTTAATCATTAAAATTGGAAAGAGGATTCTTATAAAATAAGAGTCTTTTATCCATTGATTAAGATATGAACAAGTTCAAAGAGTCTCATATTGGCATCTAATTTTTAAGTTTTAACTCTTCCGATCAAGATTGACAAATATGGAATTTATAATTTCTTTTAATTATTATTTTGATCTGCATAAGTTTCATTTATGAGAATACTTAATTCTTTAACTCTAAGAAAACATGAAAGCATGCTGATATCATATGAGAACTCAAATTCATTTTAATTTTTCAATACAATGATGGCCACTGAATAAACTTATTGCTTTCATATAGGTATTTCTTACCAATTATTGTTTCTTTAAGGATCTCCAGACTTTGATTTATAGTTCATCCATTTCAATATAGAGAGTTGGACTTCTATTATATATAGATTGTTACTTGATCTAAATTATATTACTGATCGTTAATTATTCATCATCATTATTTAAGTAGTTTTTATTTACTGAACAATAATTGACCTCATCTTTAGTAGATGCTCTTCTATTAGACATGATATCCAAACTACGATAAAATTGATTAGATTCATAACTAGTAGTTCTTGTCAAAGGAAGGTTAGAGTCTTTAGTTTGACCATGGGAATGAAGTATTTTTACTTTTTTTAATATTGAATACTCATTTTTTGGAGCTACTTATTTCATTAATTAAAAAAATGATTTGAAGCATTGTTACTGAATTAGGAAATATAAATAAAATTATGTAATATTCAAATATTAATTATAAAGTAATGAATCTAATATAACAATAGAATTCATTTAATTTATTATTTTAATAAATTATAATAGAAAATATGCTCAACATAAAAATCATATACAAAACTAAAATTCATAAATTACCTCCTAGTGTAGAGTCATATCAAGACATTATTTATTCAATTAAAAAATTGTACCCAAATCTAAATTAGCCTTACTTATTTGCAATAATTCCTTGTAAAATTTATTTAAGTTAATCTATAAAGATATTGAAGAGATAGAAGAAATAAATTGTGAGTCTGATTTCTCTTTCCTAAAGAAAATATATTCACAAGAAGGTTTGACAACTGTTAAGTTACTTGTTTCAGAGGATAGAAATTAAAATAATTTCAATATTGAATCATTAAATATGTTAAATCAAAGCATTTCAATTACTAATAGATCTAGAGTTGAATAAAATAAAATATAATAATAAAGCAATCAAAGGTAAATAAATCTATTAAATATTAGAATAAAAATTTAAGAACAAGAATAATGTAAATTTGATTATTCGAAAGACGAAGATCTTAAATAAGTTGTAACTAACATTTTAGATTAACAATTAAGACATTATGGATTGATAAAAAAAAAAGCATAAATTGTAATTTAAGAATAATTATACTCTAATGAAGATTTAAATGGATAAATATCATAACATTTTGATTTAACTAATATTAATTAGTAATAATAAATTTATAATAAAAGATAAGAAGCTTAAAGAACGTAATTTAGAGAGATGCATAAGGATTGTTGAAATTATTCACTTTTAATTTATTTTTCATTATATATATTAAATAAATTAAAAAAGATTTAAAAATGGTATTAATACATCTCTATTGAATTTAGGGAGCCCATAAATCATTAAGAATGAAGAAAAGATTAATAAAGGCTAACAAATAAAATAGACCGTTACCTAATTGGTTCAGATATAGAACAGACAATACAATAAGGTATTTTTGCGATAAACAATAAATAAAGGTATAATTCAAAGAGAAGACATTGGAGAAGAACTAAGCTTAACATAAATTGAGTCTTGAATAATAATATAATTCCATGTACAAGATTGTAGAAAATACTCAATTAAATTCTCCACTTATCTCTTATTAAAACTCTAAAGTTGATGGACATTTCGTTAGTTCTCTGATTAACATAGTTGCATAACTACTTTTCTTTAATTTAAATTAGATAAGTAAACCCTGATATTCTCCTTCATCAATTAGAAGTTCTCCAAAAGAATCAACAACATCTTAGTCTTTGTTTTAATACTTGAATAATTGATGTTCTACTTCAGATGGAATTTAAACCTAATTAAATTGAATGTTAATACAAGATATCTAAAATTACCATCAATAAAAAATTTATTTGATGCTTCTTCAAAATCTTATTTGGTGATTTGTTCCTCCTAAAATATATTTTATAATAATTTAGAAACTATTGATTCCTCTGGAATATTTATTTTATGTCCATATATAGGTAATACTACTTTATCAAAAGTATATTGTGATATATTTTATTCAGTCACAAGAATACATTAAGATATAGTTTAATTCTTCTATTGTTTTTCATCATCATCTACTATTTATTATTATTATATAATTTCATCTCCTTCATCTTCAGCTCCTTCTTCATTAACATTGCCACTAACAATATCACCAACAACTAATTTATTTCCATATTATTGTAGTCTCATTGATGCCATTTTATTCCAAATATAACTTTAATATGCATGTAGATAAAGTTCCCTTGCATTTCTAGGTAATGATTATAATGCTGTAAAATAATTGTGAACTCCATTCTATAATAAATTATCTATCAATTATTTCTCTATTCTTAATCTTGGATTTATTAAATTAGACATCGTAACAAAATCATCTAAATCAAACAATATATTTAATTTCTCTTAATCTTCTTATTATGATGATAAAATTATCATACGAATACATTCTTTCCAATTCTTCTTAATTATTTCTTTACCTATTTAATGTGTCTTAATTTTCTATTTAGATCCAAACCTTTATAGACCAAAATAATTCACAAAACCAAATAATTTTACATTTTCTATATTCTTTACTAATTCTACTTATTCATTTTAACTCAATTCATTTAAAAATCTCAAAGTAACAATAAATTTATTTCCATATAAATCTCCAAGTCTTATTCCTTAATCTTAAAAAGTATAATCAATCATCAAAATATTCTAATTCCAAAACTTTCTCTCTTATATCTCAATTAATTAACCTATTTCCATTCCTTATAAAGTTGCCCATTATGTTGTAACACCTCTTTTATCTTTTGTTCCTGCTATAGCAAAATGTTTATTAGATAATCCCAATTATTTTGATATAAACATCCCTGCATTTATCGAATCTAAATTTCTTTTCATCAATAAAAATTTTACAAATTTCTTACTTTCTCCATAAACTTTATTTGTTGTCTAACTTGCAACATATTTTTTAAAGTTTATGTTACTTGTTTTAATAAGAATGTGATCTTGAAGGAATTGCTCTTATTCTTCGAGTTTTTAATTTGATTTATCTTCCTTCTTTTCTGCTTTATTCTTTTAATTATGAGCATTTTTAGTAAATGATTCAAGGAATGGTATATTTTATCTGATCAGTTGATGTACTTTAATTCTATCTTCTTTTAATTAAGGCAAAGCAACCTTAGTTTCAAATTATACACATTTTCCAGTAGTTCTAACTTTTTCCACCAATTATTAAAATTTAGTAGTATTTTCTTCTCCAAACAATTGATTAGATTATTAAATAAATTCTTCAGAAAGTGTTAAATTTGCAAAAGGCAAAGTCTTATCTTTTTATTATGGTTTTTGATCTTATTTCTAATCAAAATTTAGCCATTTGGTTTTATCAGATATAATTGCTACTTATCCTTTAAGATCAATTTCTTAAACAATGAAATCTGTAAAGCGATGTTTGAAGAGACATTTAAAAGGGTAACCTTCTTATAGGAATGATTGAATTCCAACAGCAGATTCCATAAATAATAATTTAAATAAAATAATTTGATGTTAATGCTAAATAATAAATGATATATTAAAGATAAAGGTTAAGAAAGATGAGCAATAGAGTGAAATAAAAAAATTAAATAGCAAACTAATTTTAATTATATTGCACAAAATAATGCCAAATTTCATTTTTCCTTTACTTTATAGGAATAAGACACTTTACAATCATGTAGTTCAGACAATGCTTGTGAATGATGATAATGTAGTGACTGGTGGCTAACATGGAGAATTAGTAATTTGGTAAAAGAATCTAAATCCAAAAATTGTGATTTACCCTAATCTTTCAAATGCTTATGGAAAATTATTAACATTAAATATAGTTCGAATTCCTTTTCTTAACATTTTAGATAGAGCAGAATAATGTATACTAGCAATTCATGAAGATAAGAGAATAAGAATATTTGATTGTCATGATGGACGTTGTGTTGGAATATCAGCATATGATAGTACAGGATCAGTATTATACTGTATTCCTTTGAGTTCCAATAATTGTAGGTTTTTAATGTTGGGAATGTAAAATGGTTTGAGTCTTTTTGATCTTTGGAAAATGAGAAGTGTAAAATAATATGAATTACAATTACGTTCATTTTGTCAAGTTGATAATGATACTGTTTGTATTTTCGACTAAGAAAATATATTACATCTTATTAATTTATCATCTCTTAACAATTAAAGATACTTGAATTATAAGGAATACAAAAAATATAAAGAATAAATCAAATTAGATTTTAAAGAGCTTAAATTATGTGATTAATTAAAAAAACTTAAAATAGAGGGAATTTAGAGTAATCGAATTAGACACATGAGTTTTAATTAAGATTTTTAACATTTGACTATCTTAATGCATCGTTAAGTATACTTGATTTTTGAAATATATGAAAAACCATGGATTTTATGTGTGAGTTAATCAAAAAACAATTAAAAGTTTACTAAAGTATATTATTCTAAGCAATTCTTTTACATAACGACTAGAAATGGAAGTGTACTTGGTTTAGAATATAAGGATATAATATATTTATTGTCAATTTTAAAAGATTAATCTGATTTTGTTTATGGTTTTAAAGAGTTTTAATTTACAAAGATTGCAGGTTCTTAATTTAGCAGATTATAAGTCAATTTTTAAGAATTGATATCTGGTTCTGAAAATAAGAAAGAAGTTAATGGGATTTTTATTTTTAAGAATTTAGTATACCAATATAAAAATTAATGTTTAAATCAATATAATTTAAATGATGTGACATTAGATATGTCATTAATTCGTATTAATTAAGAAGATTCAGATATAAAATTTAACGGATTTAAATGGTCATTTAATACATTTTCTGATTTAATTAAGATTCAAACATTAAAATAAGGATGCAAATAGATTGGAGAATATTATTTTAAATAATCTTACAATGATGATTTAATTTGGAATTTGAGGTAAATGACTTCATAATCATTTTAAATTAAATATTTACCGTATGTAAAGATTGAGACATAAATAGCAAGTGCATTTATGAGTGTAAATGAGGAAAGTTAGATTTATTGGTTTGGTTGTAATAATGGTATCATTTATGGATTTCCAACTATTTATAGCAGTAAATCCTATTTTATTTACAGGATAAAGATGGATATGAAGGCAGTGAAATTTATATATTAGAAAGGAAAGTATTTAATTGGTAGTTCTGAAAGTGGATAGTTTATAATAATGGAATACAGTTTGGTGTTAAATGAGAAAATTGGTGAATAGGAAGTAGAATTTATAGATTTAGAGCCAAATTAGAGAATATACTTTCCAAGTTATGCAAAGAAGGCTATAAGAATTCATAAATTGGAGAATGAATCATATGAAGACATATAAGGAAATAATTAATAATAGAAATTCTAAAAGATTGCTATTTTAATGGAGAATAATGTTATATTAATAATAAATTTATAAGATGGTGTAGTGTAGTTGAAATTACATGGTATTAATTAATAGGTTTAAGGGTTATATTATGAAGATTAAGGAGATTAATGGTTTGTAGTTGTACAAGGTGGAGAATCATTGGTATTTGATTATAAGGGTAGATATTTAAGAACTTTAATGATAGAGTAATATCATACGTTATTTTAAGTGGAGAAGAAATTGAATAAGGTGAAGGAAAAGATGATTGGTCATCATTATTTAAGTGATTTTAAACGAGAATTCAATAAATCCATAAGTAAAGTTTATAGATTGTTGGAGTTTCAATAAAGGAATAATTATATTAAAATGTAATCACCTTATCCAAGTTTATATGAAGTAGGTGGTTAATTTAAATAATGGTAATTTGAAGCTGAATAAGCATCAAAAATGTTATATTTAATAGATCATAATTCAATTAAAAATAATATGAGAATGTGTAAATTTGTAGAAACAAGCATAGGTGAATTAGAATGGTGGGATTTAAAAAAATAAGGAGATTAAAATAATTAGAATAGATTGTTTTCTATGCTTCATCCTTGGAATGCAGATATTCAATTAAGTACATAATTAGAGTCGATATTGAAGAATAAGAAACCAACCTTCTCACCTTTAGTTGGTATATAATCAATGGGTTTTTGTGTTAGTTTTTCATTTTCTAAAGGATGGGATGTTTCATCTTATTTTACTACCTAAAGAGCTATGTCATTAATGCATTATTATCTATCTTATTTATCTAAAGAGGCTCCGTTATTTAATCAATTAATGATTCAAACTGTTGAATTACTCACCAAAAAAAAATAGATACTTGATATAAATTTTAAATCTATGGATTTATTCTTGTTGGCTTAATATACTATTGATGAATCCAACGAAGTCATGAATGCCGCATGTAATTTAATACTGTCATAAATTAGAAAATCTGATTAAGATATGCAAGAATATCATATATTAATTAGAGAACTTCTTGATTTAAATAAGGAGTAATAAGGACACTCTTTCTCCAATGTTGAGGTCATATTACTTATATTAGAATCCTATTTAGCAGGAATGTGTTAACATCTCTAATAAAATGAGGATTAAAAAAGAAGAGTTATTTAAGGATTGCATCTTAAAAATTGTATTGTAAATCCTCATCTTTGTGCACCTCTTCTTAAAGTCTTTATTGATGTCTAATAACATTTTAGGAATTCCTACAATCCATCTGATATTTTTAAGAATCTATTCTTCATCTTTTTTCAATATAATACTGTTATAGATTATTCAGAAATACTTACATAAAGTGCTTAACAAATCCAGTTAATCAATTTATTAAAAGAAATCAGTAAATAATCAGATGATATGAAAAAAAGAATGAGATAACTCACTGTCAAAAGTATTATTTAAGTTGCTATTTCAGCTCCTGCTGATTTTACTAAAATTTTAAATAAAGATATTTAGAATCTAGAAACTCATTTATTGTATCCTTCTTCAATTATTGAAATCATACGTAATTACATTAAATCTTAACATAATAATATCCATAAATAATTACCATTCCTAATGGATATTATACTCAAAAGTCTGGATCCAAATAATCCCAATCTACGTAAAGTTTGTCATAGATCTGCTACATATGCTTTGTAAACTATTTGTAAAACCTTTAAATGTATTTGTTTCCATCAATAAACTTAAAAAATTGCTATTGGAGATACTCAAATCTTAATATATGATTTGAGAACTGCTGTCAAATGGAGAGTCTTAGATGGACATAATGGTTAAGTTAATTGTCTAGAGTTTGATCACACAGGCAAATAGTTAGCTAGTTTTAGTAATACTGATTGGAAAATCAAAATTTGGAAGGTTGGATCTACAGGGTATGGAGATTAACCTATCTATTTAGATTCTTTGGAGCCATCATAGGTATACAAGGAAAACCAATCAAAGATATTTCTGTTAAATAATAACCTTTAGATCATCCTTTAATCTAATGGTCTTAAGATGATAGTAGAGTATTCTTAATTTCAAATGGATAAACCATTCTATCATGTCAAATATGAATTAACAAATAATTAAAATATTAGATATATATATATATCATATATCTATCTATTTTTCACAATTATTATTATTATTGATTTCTAATACATGGAACTTCTTTTATTACAAAATCCTTTTTTGTCATACTCATGAATTATTTCTCAAAAGCTGGAGTATTCTAAATTGGCTATATAAATAAATATAATTTCTATTTATTACATCCTAATAATTCTTGACTTAATAACATTTCTCAGGCATTTTTAAATCGTGTACTTATTTATTTTATGACTATCCTAAAAATAAGCCTATTGTTGGAAAAGGTTTTCCATCAGGAGGTTTTTAACTCTCTGATAAAATTTTAATTAATTACAGCTTTTTCTACTTATTTCGGCATCCTAAATTCACTACCATATGTTGTTGATGAATTGAATTTCAACTCAGGAATAACAGTCTTATAATGGCTTTATTTGAATTATTCATGGTGTAAATCTCCATAATCCATATAAAATTTCTAAATATTACTATTTATACATTATATGATGTCATTGGTGTAGATCCAATTGTAGCTTAATATTTTTGTTTTTCAATTACAAAATTTGGGAATGGATCACATTATTTGTAATCAGAAGCCATAGTTGTTTTAAATTCATTCAAATCTAAATTTTGATATCGACCAAAAGAATTTAGATTGATTTTAAGTTGTTAATCTTGGAAAGGTGTTTTTTTGAACTCTTAATTGTATTGAGACTTCCAAGAAATGTTGGGTTTGAATGGTTAATAGTCAAATTTGCATTTACATTTTTCACATGGACATTGAACACAAATGCATTTCCCTATCTTTAATCATTTATTTGTATACCAGCTAAATGCATAACAAAGGCTTGATAATCAGATAGATGTTGTTCAACCATACATTAAATGTGATCATTATTATTAATATTTTCATCAGAAGTTATCTATTAGTCTTGTTCTATTGGTTCTGTTAAAATATTTTGATTTTAGAGTTCAGGTTAATTAAGACTATCTTATTAAGGTTATAGTTCCTTAGTTAAAGGGGAAATTTAATTATTTTCTGATTCTAGACGAGGTAATGATTAAGATAATGACTAATAATGTTTACAAGGTATATTTGATGTAGGAGTAGAGAGAGAAGGATTTATAGTTTACTAATATTGTTGTATTGGAATAGCCTAATTGGATCCTCTAATTTTGATCATGATTCTTTTGCCAGGTTTTGAGAGTTTAGAATTAGATTATGATGATGAAAATGTTTATCTAAACAATTACATTTCTTTATGTTTTTTTTAAAGAACAGTCTATCGTTCAATTTCACTGAGACGACGTTATTTATCTATGAAGGATTCTTTAACATCAATGGAATAATGTCCTTGTTATGGTTTGAGTTTTTAGATTATATGTTCAGGAATCATAGTTATTTGAATAAAAAATAAAAATAATCTTTTATTTCTTGATTTTTAAGGAATGGTGAAGATGAATGTTTTAAATGATTGTTTACGTTCAATCGTAAATGCTGAAAGGTTTTAAAAGAGTTCAAATATGATTATAGATAAGGAAGAAAGCAAGTGTTAATAAGACCTACATCAAAATTAGTAGTGAAATTCTTGTAAGTGATGTAAAGACATGGTTATATTGGAGAGTTTGAAATAGTAGATGATCACAGAAGTGGAAAAATTGTAGTAGAACTTTTAGGTAGTTAATAAACTTATAAAAAGGTCGCATAAATAAATGTGGAGTGATCTCTCCTCGTTATGATGTTACCTTAGGTGAATTTGAAAGATGGGCTAATAATATTCTTCCAGCAAGACAATTTGGATGTGTTGTGCTTACAACTAATGTTGGCATACTTACACATGAAGAAGCCAGATAAAGACACATAGGAGGCAAAATCCTAGGCTTCTTTTATTGATATATTTGCATCAGTACATTAAATATATTTAATATGTCTTTTTTCAATTAAAAAATACTCGTTATCCCTTTCTTTATCAAATTCATTTCTATTTACTTACAAACATTCAACAACACATTCATTTACACTCTTTCTTTTTTTTAAATTCATTAATTATTTATGCCTATCCTTTCTTCTATATCCTCTATAACTGATTCTCTAGTCATCTCTCTTATTTCTCTCATCATATTATAATCTCTCTTTTTATTTATATATCTATACTTTACAATCTCAATCATTTACAAATGTTTAACACCAAATTATCATTATTTTATTATTGTTCTTAATACTTTTTATATTGATTTTTAATTAAACTCTATCCTATACAAATCGATTTATTATTTACACAACTAAACTACTTAAAATGGTTAAATTATATTTGAATTACAAATCAATCATAAATGCTTAATTACTTTCATTTTTATTCTTAAATACATACTTGTATTAAATTTTCTCACTTTGTTTTTTTTATTTATTTGATTTTCATTTTTTTTATTTAGATTGATTTTCATTTTTTTTATTTATATACTTTTAATTCCTACTATATAACTATTTTCTTATTTAATTATAATTCATTAATTAAATTATGATTAAAAATAAGCCTAGAGAAAATCTCTGAATTTTAGTTTTATACTATATCAGAAATCCAAGCTAGTCTATATTAATATCCCATATACCAATATTGTAACAATTTATCATATTTTTTCAATACCGGACTTGGGATAACAAAATTTAAATCAATTAATTCATAAATTTTATGAATCCAAATTAATTCAATTATGGAAAACAAATTTATTTTATATATAGTTATAATAATGAATTATGCAAAAAAAATATGTCTACAACAATTCAATTTATGTCATATATTTTTTTAAATATTTCTAATCATCTAAAAAATATTATTCCAAATTAAAGAATGATTATTTTTATTAACTCTAAGTCATTTTTCTACAAATTCTATGTATTAAAAAGTAATATAGCTTTTAATAAGTATTAACTTATTCAAAGTTTAGAGCAAAATTATTTAGATATTATATTTCAATCATTCTAAATAAATATGATTATTTTTCAACCTTTCAAAAAAAATTGCTTAATTAATTAATTCATATTTTTTTAAAGCTATTTTTCTGATAAATCTTTTCATAGCTTACTAATAACCAAACAATCAATGATGCTAAATATGAGAATTCAAAATCAAAGGATATTTATTTCATTACTAATAATTTATTATTGCAAAATGTCAAGAATTATATTAGTTTAGAGATACATGTTTAACTATCAAAAAGGATTATTTTTTTAACAGCAATTATTTGGTAAACCAATTATGATTCTTTGATTATTTACTGTTATAACATAAATATCATGAAATTTAAGAATTTATTAGAAAAATTGCAACTTCTTATTTAAAATGATCAAAGGGAATTAATCTATTAGCATTTAATAAACTATTTCCAATTAATTATTCTTATTAAGATCATAATATATATTACTTTATAATTCGTTAACAAACCTTCTTTATATTATCTATAAGTTTAATATCCTTTTTATCTTAACATAATTAAAGAATAAGTTTAACTCATTTAAATAAATATAGGTAAAGCTGGAGGTAGTATCCAAGTTAAAGCATCCTAAAATCTTGAGAATATAATCAGAAAACTAAAGCCAACAGATATAATTCTGGGTAATAATGCAAAGTAAACTATCAGATAACATATAACCAAAAAAATTAAACAATGATACAGATATCATTATGATTGATAGTTTCATCAGTACTTTATTATTTAATGAATCACTAACTTCTAACAAACACAAAAAACATGATAAATATTATCATATGTGAAATAGGGTTTCCTTCAATAAATATAGAAATAAATGAGTCTTTGAAATATCAATTAAACATTTTTACGCCTGCTTTTTTAGTAACTATCTCTTTGTCATCAAATCATATACAAGTACTTTAAATTTATTCACATCACTATTGTAGATGTAACTTAGTTTTCGATTTATGAAATAAATTAAGCTTTTTTTCTATATTAACTTTACAATGTTGTTTGAATTATCATTATTTGTAATTCATAATTGAGTTACCTTCTCTAATTAAGAATCTTTCAAGAAGAGCTTTTTTTTGACTAGTTTTTTGACCAACTAGCAAGTTATCTCTACTTTTATAATCTTATTGGTTCTATATTTATTATTTTTGTTGTTCCTCCAATTTCACTATCAATATTACTCCTGCATTTTCTTTTAGTAATAGACTTGAATGATCTATTGAATATTTAATTACTATTGTATGCAAATGAATCCTGACTTATTTTTTTATAAATGGTGTAACATTTGAATTTAATACATTCAATTATTGTATATTAATTTAGATAAGAAGTCAATCATTAGTTATTAGTACAAGATTTTATTTATTTAATTAATGTATATCAGTCTTTCCTAAAATAATTAAGCTTGGTGGACTCACACATCTCTTGTACCAACAGAGACATAAAATAAAGTTGTATAATTAGTGAATGGAGTTGGAAGTTTTTAGAATAAGGCATCTTTAATTTCAACATATTTGAGTTTAGAAGCAGTGAATCGTATTCCAGGTGCTAAGAAATTGGCAATTTATTTCAAGGCAGGAATAGTTGGTGCAGTATTTTTTGGTTCAAGGTAAAAATGATATTATAATAACAAATAAGAATAGCAGCAGGATCAATATATTAGAGTAATATAAAAGGAGAGATAGGAAAGCTGTTAGATGGTGCACCAATTTGGGAGAATAAGTTTGATGTTCCAGAATTGGATAAGAAATTCTTCTTCATTGATGATGATAATAATTTTGAACCTTCATTATGGCATCATGGAATGTATGCATTAATAAATAGAAAAGCAACTCAATTGAGAAGCCAAAGGTATTCTACAAACATGAGTGAATTTTAATAATTGAATGGATAAAATTTAAAATAAAATTAAATCTTTAAATAATTAATGGGACGTATGTAAGCCAAGGGAAAAGGAAAGGGTATCTCAGGATCAGCCCTTCCATACAAGAGAAAAGCTCCAAAATGGTTGACTCTATCGTCAAAGTCAATAGTTGATTAAATAGTGAATTTGGCAAAGAAAGGTAGGGAAATGATTGTAAAAATAAGGTTTGAATGGATCATAAATTGGCGTTTATTTGAGAGATTAATAAGGGATTCCATAAACAAGATTCTTGACAGGGCAAAAAATCTTGAGAATTTTAAAAAAGAGAGGTATGGATAGGCCAAATAAAGTAAAGGTTGTGCTCCAAAGATTCCAGAGGACTTATATGCTTTAATAAAGAAGGCAGTATAAATAAGAAAGCATTTGGAAAAGAACAGAGGTGACATAACAAGCAAATTCAGATTGATTTTAGTAGAGAGCAGAATTCATAGATTAAGCAGATATTACAGAAGAACATAAAAGTTGCCATCAAATTGGAAATAGTAAATAAATGTTAATAAGGATTTAGTGTTTCTAAGACAGCCTCAGCATTAATAGGTCAATGAAGAATTTAATAAATATAGTACATTATTAATTATATATAAATAATAATATAATGTGTTGTTAAGAAATAAAGTAAAAAGAATAAGATGAAATGATGATGGACAATAATGTTGAATATTTATGATAAAATCTCAGAATCTACCACCAAGGTATTGGGATGTAGCAGTTAATTTTTCAGTTAAATGTTCTAAGATTCTCTAAACAATTTCTTATTATCTTGATCTTTCTGTAGTTTGAGTGTCATAAGTTGTTTCTTGGAGAGCACACCATTCGTGTTCAGCATCAAGAGTTTCTTGAGCTTATTCTAATTCTAACTAGAAAGTAAATAGAGAATGAAAAGTACTTAATGGACTTCATAGAAATGAGTTGCAGTTTCGATATTGGTTCTGAAAGTTTAAATAGATTATTCTAGTTAATTTTTTCTATCAACTAATCTATTGTGTTCATTGCTTAAATGAGTTGAAAATTCAGACCATCTTTAAGCTTATCTATTTTCAGTATCCTAAAAGATTAGTAAATAGAATAGTTACTTCTAAGACTGATCTGGCTTCAATTAATTATTATCTGAGTTATGAGAGTAATTAAAGAATTCTTTAAATGGCCTTTTAATCAACTTTAGTGGCTAATTCAGTTAAAGCAGTAACAATAGGTTAAAATAGAGCACCATGACTTTCATTTTCAATTAATCTCTTTTAAACAGCTTCAAATTTTGGTTTAAGTTCAGCAAATGTAGCACCTAGAGAAAGATGTTAAACTAATTTAGTAGCCTCATCAACAGCAGCAATAGCATCATCATGTTCACCATTCTTTCTAACCCAAGTTTCATGAGCTTTATTTCTATTAGCTTCTTCTTATGCAAATGTTCTTTCATTACTTTCTATATCCTAATTAATTATTTTTATTTGCTTACTTAAATAGTTTGTCTGACATCATTTTCAGCTTCAGCCAAAGCTTTTTCATTATCTTCTCTCATCTAAGCATTAGCAGCTACTTAAGCTGTATGATAAGCGATTGAATTTTCCAAATCTGTTACAATACGAGTACAAGCAGCTCTATCAACTCTTATAACATTATCATGTTTATTTTAATCATCAACTAAACCAGCTAATACTTAATTTAACAACACTAAAATTTCTTCTGCATTTCCTTTTGCTTGTAAATACATTTAGACAGTTGATAAAATTGTATTTCCAAAGTTGTCAGCATCAATCTCTGCCAACACTGTTTTAGTATCCTTTTATACACCCATAACACATGAAACAATCAAAGCTAAAGCAATCAATTTCTACATTATTAAATTATTAACGAAAACGGATCAATAAATTAATATATTAATCAAAGGTATCTATAACCATAACCTGCAGCTGGACGATATCCACTAACTCTACTTGGACTGTATCTATAATTTGAATATTATGTAGGAGGTGCTGGTGCTAAATACTAAGATTGACTTCCGTAACCCACTCTGCTCTATGGTCCTCTTACTACATGGCTATTCTACACTGGAACATAATCGACATGTTCATCATATCTATCAACTGGAATATATTCAACTCTCTTCTCCAATCTTGGAACTGGTACATAATCTGTCTCGTGTTTTACTAATTATTATATTTTATAGAACAAACCTTCTATATAGTCTGTATATGATTTCTCTACTGGTCTATATTCAACCTTCGTCTCTGGTACATAATCTGTATATCTCTATTCCACAGGAATATATTCAGACCATTATTCACCTCTCATTGGAGCTCTCGATTAATAAGAGTATGGACGATCATAAGGACCGTAGTATGCTGGACCATATTAACTTGTTTAGTATACTGGCACTGTGCGATCGTATCCACTTTAGTAAAAAGGCTTATAGTATGACATTTCAAACACTTAAAATTATTTATTTTTATTTCTTCTAACAGAACTTTATTTTAATGTTAAAATTTATTTTTTTATTCTTTATACTACTCAATCTCTTTATTATTTTAAATCTATCTTCTATTGTTATTTTCAATTCTCACTTCTTATCTCTCCTTCCATACTTCTTTCTTTTCTCCATTACTCAAATCTTATTAATATTGTTCAATAAAAAAAGAACCTTGCTTTCTTAATTACTTTTAATCTTTACTCTTAACTTCAAATTTTATATCACATTTAGTAATTTTAATCCTTAATTACAATCAAGATTAAGAGTTTATAATTTTAATTCATACCAAATAAACTTTAAAATTTAATTTTTCTCTTATTTTCACTTATATACTCTCAAAATATTTTCGATTAATTATAAATTAATATTGTAAACTTTTTGTTTAGTTTCTTTTAAATTCTTAATTCTTTGTTTTAGAGATAATTTAAATAATAAGTAAACTTTCTATATATTTATCAATTTAATGAAAACAGAGTTAGTATATACTAAAATAAATAATTTGCATGAATAGCCAATAAATAAACTTAAATAGTTTCAAAATATGATTTCATTATAACAATACTTATTAAGAATGAAATATTTTTTACTTAAATTCTTATTTTAAAAGCTAGATAAAATTTAAATGAATTTGATAATAAGAAATTAAATTACAAAATATTTATTTATGTTTGAAAATTTAAAAACAATAAATTAATCTTCAAATCGATTAGATAATTGAGTAAATTCTCACAAAAGAAAATTGAGTTGATTTCTTACTAAGAGTAATTAGATAGTCAAAGATATCAAAAAATATTTTTAGTACCCTAAGACTCTAACTAAAGTTCATATTTATTTGATAACATATATACTTTTCATTAAGGATAAAAATTTATAATTTTGGATTTAATAGTAGATATTGAAATCATGTGAAAATGAAAAAATATGTTGTGCAAATTTATGATAATTTATTTTAATATTGGAAGAAGTTTATATGGTAGTCAGATAAAAATATAGTTTATTTCATCACATTTAGAAATATAAATAATTTATACTTTCATACAAAGTGATTTCTTAATTGCTAATTATTTAAATCTTAAAAAATGATGAAATTTTATAAATTATAAATTAATTTAGATGAATTTTGAAAAGATAATAGGATATTTTTTTCTTTCTTCAAATAATCTTTAGATTTTGACTAATTAAATGGTTTTAGCATTGAATGAATATTGAAAAAAAACAAAAACTAGCAGAATATAAGACAAATTAATAAAAAATACCAAATCTTCATCAAATAAAATAAATTATTTTTTATTAACTAGAGGAAATAAAAAATAGACCAGATATATGATTGTTTTAAGATATATTTTTATTATAAAAACTTTAGATTATATAAATTTGATATTTAATATTCTAAAATTATATATTGAATATAATATTATTTATAATCAATGGAATAATTAAGTTTAATAGCTAGAAGAATCCTTTGGAATACTTATTTGACAGAAATAATAATGTGAAGATCTTTATGAAGTATTAAGTATACATAGATATTATCAGAGGCATGAAATTGTTTTGAAATTTAGTAGAAATTTATCTTAAAAGATTGTTAATCTAAAATTAGATATCTTAATATTACGACTATGTTCTAAATTTAATATAAATATCCATTTCATCACTTTTTTAACTTTAAAAAGAAAAAATCCTATAATAAAAATAAGTTAGATAAAATAGAGATAAAAGAACAGATTGATACAATTGTATCAATATTTTATTACCCAATTAGAGAAATGTTATTTTTATAAAAATTTTGAGTTAGAATGGAAATTAAAAATATGAAGGTTTAGTACAGTGGAGAGACAGATACAGAGAATGATTGAAAAAAATATAAGAAGATGGAATTATCAAATGAAATAAAAGTTTAATAATATAAACAATGTAGAGAGAGAAGAATGAAGTTTATGATTAATAAAACTTAGATTCCTATTGAATATGTTATATAGAAAATGGATAAGTATGTAATTAGATTGTATGAGAAGAATGTGTATATAGTTTATAATTCTTTTTTAAAAATAATACATATATAGTTAATTTAGATTAGTGATTAATGATTTTTGATTTGACTGATAAAAATTGATATATTGATGAAAAATTAATCTGTAAAGAATGAGAAGATAGAAAGGATTAAGGAAATAAAAAAGGAGAAGTAGAATAAGGATGAAAATGTTAAAAAAAGTTATGAAGATGTTAAAATTGATAGTATATAAAGTTTAGTGACGTGATAAAAATAAATAATAAATGATTTATATTTTTGCACTTCTATTAGTAGTAGAAAGTCAAAGTTATGTAGGATAAGCAGCTTGTGGTACACTAAGTGGTACTGGTTGCACAGGTTCAGGGTATTGCAGACTTTCTGGTGCAAGTTGTGTGGATCTTCCATGTTATATGGTAAATGAAGTAGCAGCTTGTAGATCTGGACCAGTAGGCAGTGGAATACCAACAGGAGCACTTTCAACAAAATGTGATTCTTTGGAATAGTTTAGTTTACAATATGACAATGTTTGTGTTGATAAAGGAGATGGTAAATTAAATTTTGCTTTTGTTCGTTTCACTAAAACCACAGATGGATCTGCAATTTAAACTACAGGTTCAACAACAACAGCAATTGCAGCATTGACTTCATCTGAAGCAAATATGTTTGCTTTATATACAATAAATCCATGGAAATCTCCAGAAGGAACTCAAGATGCTGCTACATTGAAAACAGAATTGGAAGCAATTTTAGACAAATATATAGCATTTCATGCTATATTAATAGATACTACAAATTCTCATCCATTCTATTTAGAAAGAACTACTTACTAAGCCTTATAATTGATAAGAGTATTATTAATAATATTTATGATAGGATTATGTTGATTTTACTTATATATAAAGAAAAGCAATATTACCTAAAATATGGTAGGTTGCTGAAATAGCTCTTTTTAGAATTGCCAAATTTTCACCTGCTTATTATTAAACGAACTATTATTTTATTAATTTTGCATCATGTCCTTATTCAAGAAGAGAATTAAAAATAAATGGTTAATTAAATGCTGTTAGAATTGTTTGGGATGCTACTTCATATACAGTTAATGGATAGATGTAAGTCTATTCTTATGCTGCTGAATAATTTGGTATTAGAAATGCTCTTTCTGATATTATTGCTCTTAGACCTACTACTTCAGTTACAACATAAGCAACAATCAGTTTAGACACTGGATTCAAAGATTTCTATTTAGAATGGACATGGACTGATACAAATTTAGTTGTTGTACAAAAAAACATTAAATTATATTAATTTGATGAAAGTGCTACTCTTGCTACTGATGTTGTCAAATAAGTCACTACAACTATTACATGCACCATTGATACAAAGACTTGTAAAACATCTACCTTCACTGTATCACCAATTACCTTAGCATCTACAAGAATCAATTATTATTTTACTTATGGCCCTGGTAAATGTGTTGATAAATCAGAAATTCAATGCAAATTATCTATCGAATAAGGAGCACAATGCAATTATAATCCTTCTGGCTTGACTGATTATAAATGCTCCTGATTTAATTATTAATAAATATAAAAATATTCCAATGATAAGTTTTCAAGATAGATTCAAAGGCAAAATGTCATACATCTCTAAATACGGAATTAATCAATCCCCTGATCTTAAATCAAATAGCTCAATCCTGGTATTCTTTCTATTTCTATTAAGTTATAAGATTAATCAAACAATAAAAGTACCTCAAAAATTATTAACATCAATTCTAAATCCCCTATCAAAAATTCTTAATATTATAAATTGCCGCCTATTATAAATAAAATTGTAGATAAAACTTAAAATTTTAAATAACATAAATAATCTATATCAGCCAAAAAAATGTATTAATCTTCTTTTTATATTTCAGTTACTCAGCAGATCACTCAAAAATTAGTTTGAAAAAATCTGATAATGATCTTGAACTCATTTAAATGAAACACTTGCAATACTTAAATAAGATTGAATAATTATATATGCTTTAAAAAAATTGATTAAAATTTAATCTCATTCAATTCTCTATAAAATTTTTAATTAAAATAATGCCAAATCACTCTACCAATAATTTTATTATATATTTTTAATTATTAATTTTACTTCTAATTATCTCGCCTATGATTTTTAAAAAAAGATATTTCTTTTATACAATTTTAAGTAAAATCAAAAAATACTCTTTTAATAAACAGAATAAGTATTATTATAAGTCATTATTTTAACCATATTCAGAGTTACTAATCAATTTATAGATGCATTCATATTTCTTTTTCATTAAATTACTCTATTATTTAATATATTTTACTATTACAAGAATTATTTCAAATTTAATCATTCGTTCCCCGTCAAAAATAATTGATTGATTTTTATTTATCTATGATTATTCATATCCTGATTTTGTACTAGATTATTGTCACTAATATTTTTGATTTTCAAGACTCATTTAACTTTGGATAAATACTAATGAATTTTATACCATTATAACTCAAATATGAAAATTCATATTTGCTGGAATTTATATTATAAACAATTGAAATTATTTAAAATTGAAATCAATACTGAATTAGTTAATGGCGATTTATTAATAATAACTTATTTATACACAATATTAATAACTTTTATGGCCATATTTAAATTTAAAGAATAATAAATTGTATTAAAGATACTCTTATTTATTCTATAAAATTATCCAAAAGCTCTAAATATAAATCATTTAGTAAACATTTATACCATTAACCCTTTGTCAATTATTGCTTACTATTGTCTATGTCTAGCATTTTAAGTCTTATAGTCTGATTTGTATTACTTTTCTTTAGTTTAATTCAATAATGATAAAAATAATTTAAAAACAGTTACGAAATACTAACTTAAAAATATTAAATTTGAAAATTAAGAAAATTTATAAGAAAAAACAATTACTAATTAAGAATCACTATTAAATCAATTTGTTTAATTTATAACATTAAATTTATTGATTTAAATTTTTATTTATATCTTTTTTTTTTTAATCATTATTTAATTTATAATGAATTAAAATCAAAAGTAATTAATAAATTCTATTACGAAAAAGGTAATACTCTTTCATTTTATATGAAACAAAGTCATTGTATTAATTATAATAATCTACAGGATTAATTAATCTTCATATAAATTATTTAGTTATTTTTCTTATCATAAAATCATTTTAAATGCATAAATTTTTAATCAATAATTATTTGATGAAATTTATGAAAAATAAATTAAAAATATATTTATTTTATGTTTAAGAATATTATTTTAAATATTTTGTTAGCCTTTGTATTCCTTGTATCATTATATTTTTTATAAAAAAATACTAAAAAAGAAATGAATGTTTTTGCTCAAAAAAAATTTAAAAATATCTTTATCATTTTTTCAATATTGTGATAGAGCTTGTTGTTGTTGACAGTTAATTTAATTTACAATAGTTTCATCATATTAATGTATAATTTTTTTTTAATTTTATTTTTATAATTATTTGTAAAATGTATACAATTTTAAATTTACTTGTTTTTTGCATACCAGCTGGAGCCATAAATTTTTATTGCTAGAAAGATGAAGTGCAAATTGGCCTAGAGAATTATCTTCTAGCGGAATTAGACAACAATAATAAATGTCTAATAAAAGACGATCAAAACCCTTTAGAATTAATTCAATCTATTCCCCTCACAAATATTTAAGAAAATGTAAAATTAATTTATTCAAGCAGTGACAAAGCAAATGATCTTAAGTTAATTTTTCAAGATAAGGATTAATTTTTATTTTTAAGCAATGAAATTTCTTTGAATATATTTGAAAAATCAGATGTAGAATTGATTTTAAATCGTAAAAAAAAATTCAATTTTTAACTCTCTGAATGTGATAATATCTTAAAAGAGTACTTTATAGTAGCAGCTTTCATGTTGTTTTGCGAAAATGTTAATTCCTATAAAATATATTAATTTTAAGAAAAATTAAATGAATAAAATTAATTAGAATTTATATTTGATAAGAATTATGAATTAAATAAATAAATTGATTGTAAAATAGATATTAGTTAAGATTTAAATTAAATTATATATTTTTCCTATTTGGAATGCTAAACCTGGAAAATTTACATGATATAAATAGATAGCATTTCTTTGATTTATGATTCAAAAATTATTAATAATCATGAAATTTTAAGAGATATTTTAATTAAAAAAAAAAATTCACTTATTTTTGACCATAAGATATTTTAGTTTGAGTAGACAGAATTATATCTAAAATTAATTTATGAAAATTAATAAGAAAAAATCTTAACATATGAAAACATTCATGGAATTGATTATATAGTAATTGAGTCATAAACTGTAAATGTACTAGAAGAAGCAGATGGATATATAATTAAACGATCGTAAAAACCGATATAAATAATTGAATCTAGAGAAAAACCTATTATAAATTTTGGTTCTTATTTAGAGCTTTTAAGAGAAAATAAATAAAAATCATTTATTTTAAATATCCCTTCAGGAATACTCCTCAATAAATTTTAATTTTCTCCATACTTCATTTTACTAAGTAAAGAAAAATTAACTATATTAAAATAAAATTTACCCTATTTATAATTAAAATGCAATTAATTTAAAAACTAAGAAGTATTCAATTTAACCCCATTCAATATAGCTTTTGAAAATTATTGCCTTTCAGGAATTGTTAAATAAATTGATTTAAATGAAATAGATCTTCTAAATTTTAGCAATATTGAGTTGGAAAAAAGAATACATAATCTAAATTTTTTAATAGAACTTGATTAATAAAAATTCTTGAAACATGGTTTAATTCCAAATTTATCAATTTATAGCAACAATTTTATATTTTGCAAACACAATTAAAATTTCTTAGAAGTTGATTGTATCAATTCTTCAATTATGAAGAGTATTTGGTGGATTATGAAAGAAGGTTTGAATGAAAAAATATTTATCTATTAAATAAATGATCAATTAATTGAAATCTTGGAATGTTCTAGCAATAGAATTACAAAAATAATAGTTAAAGAAGTGATTTAATAAAAAAATATCTTTAATTTTTAAAGGTATGTGTTTTTGATACAAAATTAAAACACTAAAATTTTAAGAATTGATACTGAGAACTTAAAGAACATGAAATTAATCTTAGATCTTAAAACTTAGGTAATAAATATACTTTCTATTAATATTTATTAAGTTTTGATAATTTTGGAAAACTGCCACAATTATATATTATAATTAGAAACATTTGTTTAACAAAAATAGTTTAAAATAGATTCTCATGGCCAATGCATTCAACCTAAGTCGATAACAACATTAAGTACATATTTAAATATCGCAAATAAAAATATTATTTCATTACATAAGATCAATTTTATGATTTCATTTAAGCTAGATGGAGAAGAGATTCTTGATTTGGTTGAAATAAGAAACAATAATTACATAATTCTTTTAGAGTAGGATAAAGAATTTATATTTAGGAAATATAAACTAACAACTAATTATGAATTTATAAAATTATTTGATTTCCCTCTATTATTTTTTAAATTATATCTTCCTTTAAAATATGAGGTAAAATATTATAAATTAGTTGTTGCCGCAATTTCCAAGAATGATAGTACATAAGTACTATTGGTTTATCATTTGGAAAACGAATAGTATAATTCATTAATAGATGTTATTAAAGTTGATAATTTTTAATTTAGTTTGATATCAGAATTTAAATTATTGATTTTTTAAAATCAAAAATACTTGTTATATAATTTAGCTAAGATTAGTTTGAATTGTAGTCTGACTAGTTTCTTTGAATATGAAATTTCTTAACCTTTAATTGTTAAATTGCATTCAAAAATTAATCCTGAAAAAGCTATTAATAGCTCCATTAATATTAAATTATTTAATCAAATTGAAAGCTTACAAATAAAAAATTTAACCTTCATTAAAACCACTACAGATAATCCTAATATTTTAATTAGCATTGATCCAAGAAAATATATATAGGGATCTTTAGTAAATATTACTTCTTAGGATATTGTTATAATGTAACCTTTGCTTTAAAGCCAACCTACATTTTTTAAATAGTGTGATCATTTTTATAATACTGTTTGCTTTAATTAAAAAGAGAACTACATTATTTTAAATATTTTTTCAAATAATTAAAAAAAAATTTTTGTAAATGAATAGATAAAAAATATTTTCAAAAGTAATAATTTTTATTTTCTTTATCAAACTAATTTCATCAGTATTTTTAATAAAGACTCAAATCTAATTTAATAAATTAACCTCAAGGATAATTATTTTATTGAAATTCTTGAAATAATTATGATTGATAATATCGTAATCTTTCAAAGTTAATAAAAATTAGTAATTTATTTAATGAAGCCTCTTTACTTTCAATTAATTGATGAAATTAATGTATATCAATGCTAATCATATAAATTTGTTAAAATCTAAAATAAATAAGACTGTTTTTTAATTTATTATACATAACCAATAGAATAGAACAGTACATACTGGGTTATTAATATTGAAGAAGGATAGGAAGTTTTATAAAAAAAGAAATTAATGTTAGATTTGGTCTAGGATATTTCTATTAGTCTCAAAGAAATTGAGATTATTTATATTCGATTAATTAATGATAGTTATTACGAATTCAAATATTTGATTATTCCATATGATATATTAACTGCTTATGTAATGAGTTGTTAAATTGAAAAAGACTTTTAATAAATTCTTAAATTATAAAAACTTGGAATTGTTAGATTTCCTAATCTTAAGTCCATTTTTTATGAAATTATCATATTAACTGATGATTAATTTTTATTTACTAAACAAGACCTAAATTCTTAATTATCTTTATCGATATTTAATATATCGGAAATCAATAAGTTCAATTTGATTGACAGCATTTTTAATATTTAGTTGAATGCAAAATTCGAATATCAAGGTATTTAAATTTATAACCAAACTCACTTTTTTTATGTTTAATTAAATCATTAATATGAACTTTGTTCCATTAATCCTTATTAATTAAATATTTCAAATATAAGCACATAACCAATAATAATTAATTTTTAAAATAATGTATCTAACGTATCTTTATAATTATTTATTTAAAATTCAGTAAACAATTAATCAAATGTTAAATTTTAATTATATTGGATATTAGGATTAATACTTTTATTGATGTTGTTGTGTCTATTTTATTTTCAAGTAAGAGGCAAATATGAAAAGAAGGTTATTGCTAATTTAGAAATTGAATTATGAGAAAAATATGCATTTAGATTAATATTAATATGAATAGTTTAATTTAAACAAAAAAAATTAAATATATTATAAAGGATTCTAAAAAGCAAGTTAATTATATATAATTTTCTTAGAGTAATAATTAGATTAAATAAAAATAAATATTAAATTTTAATTTTATAATTTATATAATTTAATATTTTTCTTTAATTGTAAAATCTAAAGTTATTATGATATTATTCTATTTATATGTTTTCTAAATTTAATCTCTAAAATGTGAATGATAAATATTTAGAAATATTTATTTACATAATAAATCATATTCATATTTAAGAAATATTTAATAAATGTTTATGTGGATGGTTCTATTATTATATATCATAAATTTATTGTTTGATGAATGATAGATAAAATTGATGGAATATAAGAGAGTTTTGTTTTGTGTAATAATGTATTTTTTTTTGGGATCTAGTAAATAATATTTTTTGAGATGAATTAAAACTTTAATTAAAAAAAAATCAATAAAAAGTTATAAATGTTTGAATTTATTGAGTAAGTTTGTAGGAAAAGAGGGAGAATGATTTTAGTTAATTTAAAGAGGTTTAACGTTATATAATTTAAATATAAAAATGAAATTGTAAAATATTCGAACTATTGATTTCAGCAAGGCGAACAAATAGATAAAGGATCTATCTCATAAATTTCTACAGAGCAAGATGCTAAGAAAGAACAAGGAGAATTTTAATCCAAATAGTAGTAATTAGGATGGTGGAGCAAAATTATTATTAGAAGCCCTTTAAAAACCAATATTGAGAAATCTAAGAGATTTGATAAGAATTAAAGAATCAGTAGTTTGTGAGAGAAATATATTTGATGAAGTATGTTCAATGGGTGTAAGTGAAAATAGTGACATAGGTGAGGGATTCAAGATTTCTTTTGCAAATTTGAGTATCAAATAAGAAAGTATAGTTGATTGTGAGAGTATTCAACCTACGAATGCACCAATATTATTATTTATGGTGATTTAAAATATTAGAAGGAAGAAAATGATAATCTCATTTTAAGAAATCAAATTTTTCATACTTTAAAGAAACTTAAGCTCCGTAAATAAAAGACTTCAATATGCAAAATAAGAATAATTGCGTAAGATTATTGTTAACAAAACAAAGTAGGAATAATTGTTACTTTAAGTATACTTGAAGTATTGGTCATAATAAACACAACTGTTAATATTTTTTGATCATTTTGGTTCAAAGATAAAGAAAATATACAAAAATAAATTAAATGAATATTTAATTGTTATGAGATAACAAATAATTAAAAGAGAAGCAGCCTAAAAAATATTTGGGGTGATTAATAAAAAATTATTTGAATATGGACAAAATTTGAATAGAATGAAAAACAATTTGCATTTGTAAAATTGTATAAAGAAGATGATTGTAAAATAATTGAGATGTTCATTTTAATAATTACAATAGATTAGGTCTAGATCTCCAGTTATTTTTGAATTATTAAATTAATTAAGAGATAATTAATTGAGAGAGAGTTTAAAGATTTTTAAGTTACATGTATTAAGATAAAAAAGAAGGAATAAATCATTTACATATGGTTTTGAAGATTTGAATAAAATAATGAATAAATTAGATTATAAATTTGGTTTTAATAAGCTGCAAAATAAAAATAAAAATAAAAAAATAAAAATAATGCTTCCAACAAAATATTTAATAATGATTCTTAAGAAATTAGAGGATAGACAAAAAAATTGGGTTTTACGAAAATTAAATTAATGAAATATAATAATTAAAATGAATGTAAATTTAAGTATTGAAATGATAAATTCAACAGTAATGTTAGGATTTGAATTTCTAAAAAATAATAACAATAATATTCTGAATAGTATTAAATGTCTTTTAATCGATAAATATATAAATATATATATATATAAAAGATTTAATTTGCATTAATGGTTCGACTTGAGAAGCTGATTTATGAATAATTAGTGAATATTCGTGCATTAAAAAGAGAGAGAATAATAGGATCACCTAGAAAATGGTATTCTGAGCCAAGGACTCCAGCAATGACATTGTCAGCAGTGAAATTGTTTACATAGGGATTGAGTGGATAAATATATAAATTAGTTGAGCCTTTATTTGCTAGGTAAATAAATGAAGAATATAATAAAATAGATTCTTTTACAGATGGATGAGAAATATTGGATTAGAGAGAGGATTAGCAATGGAAGATTTATTATTATTTTAAGATAGAGAATTAAGAAGAGATCCTTTATTTGAACATATATAAAGAGAAGGATTCCATCCATATACATGGATTATGTTTAATAAAAGAAGAGCTAGATTTTCAAAAGTTGAAAGAGGTGTAAGAGGATCTACTGCACCTGAATGGTTATAAACAGAAGCAAGAGAACGTACATTAGCTGATAGTGTTGAAAATATTTATGAATGGGATAATTATGTTTATTAAAATTACATGAGTGATATGACACCTACAGCAAGAGGAACTATTTTATAAAAAGTATTACCATTAGAATGGTTCTTATTTTTTGGATTTTTAAGAGTTGATTCTTGGGATAGATATTTTTATAATGAAGTTATTTATAAAGGATTAGAATATTCAAAACAAGAGTTAGCTAATATTCCTAAACCATTTAAAGCTTAATTATGTATTAATATTATATTTATCAAAAATATTAGCAACTGATGAAGGTAGAAGACAATTCGAAGTTAATGTTAATACATTTATTCAACGCTATCCAGGTGCTATTGTTAAAGAAGGGTAATATTTATATATATATATATATTATAGAGATAAATTTGATTTCTAAAGATTTTATGCACTTGAAGCTATTAATAATAATAGAGATCTTAGTAAATTTGATTCTTCTTTGATTTCTTAACTCAAATCAGAACTCACTTAATAGGTTTCATTAAAAACAAACACTAAAGTTAAGAAACAAAGAGCCACATTCCCAAGTTGGTTATAGTAAGATGGAAAAGGATTCTTAGCATGATCAATTTGAATATATTATGTCAAATATATAATAATACAAATTAAAAATTTACCTTATTTTAAATATTATTATTATTCGAATAAATTAATTATAATAGGATTCAAATTTTTGTACAATTAATTTAAGAAAGGCTTTCTAATTTTTAGTATTCATTACATAAATGAAAAAATCAGAAAACAAATTTCATCAAAAATTCGCTTAATTTCATTCACTTTTAGAAATAGATAGTGTTAAAGATTAGATGTTAGTGTCCTATTAATAAGATTTTTAATCATTAAAATCATTTTATGCAAATATTGATTTTAATTATCTTTCATGGCTCAATGATGTCTATAAAACTACTTTTGAACCTATATATTATACTGAAGAAATTTTAAGAAATGTTAAAAATGGATTAAGAAGTGGAGAGGATACTCTAAAATAAAATATACGTAAAAATCTCATCTAATTATTATTTCTTTAAAGACCTGTACCAGCTATATTTGTTTTTCTTAAAATCTCATCATTATCATTTGAAATTGTTTATAAAGAGGATTTCTTATTAATTTTAGATACTATGTTATAAAAGCTTAATTTAGATTCAAGATCAGATCTCTATTAAAAAATGTATGATAGTTTAATTGAAACATCTGATGAAGAAATTATATTGTAAACTATTAAACTTTTAAATAAAAAATTTGAACTTGCTAGTTAATTAAACTAAAAATAATTTGAAGTATTTGATAAAATATCAAATCAATTTAATAAAATTGATTTCTCTGAATCTAAAGATGTTATTATTCAAATTGTTAAAAACTTTAGAGAATTTTAAGAAAAATTAAAAAATAAACGTGAAAGTCTAGATTAAGTTAAATCAGAAAAATTCCCTTAATTTGTACTAAAGGTAATCTTAATGTTATTGAAATAATAAGAAATTGTTGTTCCAGAACTTCTTTTATTTTTATATTTTAAAGAAACACGTGAAAAAAGAAAATCTATTGCTATAAAAGCCTAAGTAAAGGAAATTTTAAAAATGTTTGCTATACCTAGATTAAAATCATGTTTAGATCACTTAAAAATAGAAGATACTATATTTTCTAAAGGAGCTATTGGTTATGATTAATTATATTCATTATGTGAAAAGGAATATCCAATTTTTCTTAATTTAAAACTTAATGGGGCATTAATATCTTATATAGAATATTTACATTAAGCAACTCATATAAATACTTAATAATTTTTAAATGTTTTTGAGAATTAAGAATTTAATGATTTTTTAGAATAGATTTGGAATATTTGTGGAAAAGAAATCTAGCAATTATTACAGAATATTCTTATAGAAGATTTGGAATATGCAAAATATGGTTCAAATATTTTAAGAATAGGAACATTTTTATATAGAATAAAATTTAAATTAGAGAAAAAGAAATTGAACATAATGGAGAAGGGTTATGATGTAGAAGAATAATCATTAGAAAGACGTACTTATGGAGTAACAGAAAGAAGTATGAATCCTTTATTCAAAACTTTTGTAACTGATTTAGTTCATAGAAAGAAACCATTTCCATTATTACTTAAAACATTAAAGATGGATTTATATAATTTGAAGGTTGGATATAGGATTACTGAGATGAGAGAATTAGTTGTGGATCCTAGGTTTAAAAAACATATGAAAGAAAAACATGGAGTTGTTTGGAATAGGGAAGATCCTGATGAAAATTTAGATCATATCATTGCTAGATAATATCCTATTAAGGTAAGCAATAATGGTAAGAAATATGAACTTAATTGGCCTAGATTAATTAAAAAATAAGCTAAATTAATTTATGATAGTAGAGAACAATTAAAAACTTAATTATTAGATGTTTATGCTAATCAAAATTTCATTAAAGTTTATAATGAATTGATTAAATTAAATGATAATAATAAAAAGAAAATGTAAACAAAAGAGATTTTAATCAACTTAGTTGCATATATTAAATCTATAAAAGAAGAATGATTGAATTTATTATTTATTTTAGATATTTTATATTAATTGATAAATTTAGATGTTTATAATTTCAATTATAATATTAAATTTTGTAAAAGCATCTATTTAAGCAACCCATATGTATTTTATTATCTACCTTCTTTTCCATTAAATACATAGCTAATGCTTTTAGAAGTATAAGGACTAGACAATCTATTTATCTCCTGGAGAAATTTTAAAATTAGATTTGTAAAATTACATATATGGTAAACAACTTCAATATTCATCATCAAATAAATGTATAGAGAATAAATTTAATTTTAAAAACATAACTTTATCCAAGGAATACGAATCAGATTATTCAGAATATAGTTTATGTTATGATCCTAAGAGTGGAATTTGTAATAAAAAAGAAATTTATTATTATTTTTATAGAGTTTGGACAAACTGTGTAAATGTATGTTGTTAAAAAATAAGTGACAATAATGTTTTACAATTTCACTGATAATATTTCAAAGCTCATTTATCAAACTAAATTTTCAATAGAACAAGTAAAGCTTAATTAACTTATGTGATAGAACTTCTATTGTTAAAATGTTTTATGTATGAGATTAAATCTGAGCTTAATTGAATGCTAACATAATTTCAAATAGCAATCAGCTATATATTTGATTAATGCAACTTCAGAGTAGACCTAAATCTATTTTTTATAAAATGATGAATTGGGTCCTATTTAGTAAATGATATCATAATTTATAGAGCAGGACTGATTAATTCAAATAACGAAGAACTTGTTAGTTTTTATAAAATGATCAATCTATATTATAATAATAGTCGAATAGACATGTATTCTATAAATATAACATCTAAAGAATTTACTAAATCTACCATGATAGACAAATTACTATATAAACTAGAATCATTGAATATTTATGCTTTTTTGATTTATAATTCAGCTATTTATTTTTTATCTAAAGAACTTGGATTATGTTATGTAAAAAGTCAAAACAATTAATATTGTTGGAAAATGGCAAATGTCTTTGATGTTTTTAGTGTTTACATAGAATAAAATGGATATCATAGTATACTTCTAGGATCCACTTTTACATCAGATATCTTTAAAGCTTATTTATTTGATGACGAAACTTATAAAATTATTCAAATGTATAAATTGTAAAAAAATATGACATTTTAATAAATATTCCATAATGATAAATATAGTTTTATTATTGGACATAAAAACAATAATACAAAGAAGTACTTGATAGAAATTTATTCTTAAATGGATGATACAACTTCTAACTTATATTAAACAATAGAAATTAATTCACATAAGGAATTATTTTATTTTGATAGTTTAAATAGTATAAAATAAATATTATTAATTTAGATAATGCATATGTAATAAACAATCATTCAATATCAATTATAACTCCTCGAGTTTCATATTTAACTATTGATGATGATTTATGTTTTTAAGAAATTGTTGAAATCACAGCTGCATTTCCATCATATGAATTAGAATCGTTTTGTAATTTTACTTTTTATGTAATGAAATTGGAGGAAGGAAGTTAAGATGTTTATGACAAATAATAGTTAGAATACTCTGTTGTTGTTTTAAATAAAAGTATTAATAACTTATACTTGAATAATTTTGTGATCGGACCCAATGTAGATTATTATTTATATAATTAATCTGATGAGAATTCAAATGAGAATGATTTTGAGAGAATTAAATTTAAAGAACAATACAAAATCTTCTATGCATAAACTATGGATATTACTTAAATTATTTTCACTCGTGCCTTTCAAATTGCACTAGAAAATCAATATATATAATTAATCTAATGGAAAGATTTCCTTCTTTAAATATTTTATTGCATCATTAATGAAGGTGCAAGAGAGATTAATTGTAATTTCAAACAAAGCATTACACTTTCCCTTCAAATATTATAAGTTATTACAGGCCTTTCATGTTAAACTGAATGTTTTGTAATTAGACATGAAAAAAGAGCAGATCTTTATATTGAATATAATAATAAGTTTATAACTTCGAATTGTTATATTACTTCCTTAAATAATATAGAAACTATTAAATTACATCTTCAAAAATATTTAGTTGAATTAGAGAATAATAAAATTCAGGTATAAATATTTTTTATTTAGATTTTTTTACCTAATTATAAATAAACTATGACTTGTGTTCTAGAAAAGGTTTTCGAGATTAATTCTCTTGAATTAGAATAACTTATTAATGCTAAAAAGTCTATCAATATTTTTAATGTTAAAACTAATATCAATATTTACAATCTCTATATTTCTACAAATTAAGGATTAATTATTATTGATCCAGATTTAATGCGATTTCAATAAACCTAATTAATTGCATTCGTCTAATTTAATTAATAATTTGACACAGTATTATAAGTGATTAGAAATCGAATAATAACACTTTAATACACTAAGATTATTATCATTAATCTTGTTTAATAAAACTTTTATTATAATGAAAAAGTGCTGCCTTTTTATGATTTTACTATCACAAATACAGGAAATTCATAAGTAGCATTTTCTTAAAACTATTTCTATTTGCAAGGAAAAGATTCAAATTATACTGATGTTATTATCATTTACAAAGTGGATGAACCTTAAATTTCAACTTTTCATACATACTTTTCCAAAATAAATAATCTAGATTTTAGTATTATTCAAAAATAAGATGATGAAGTATTTTTGGTTCAATTGTTTGAAGCTTAAAAACTATACAGTTCTGTAAATTTGTAATTCAGGTCTTCTTAATCAAAAGTAATTAAAGTGCTTTTCTAAGGATTTACAAGTTATGCAAAATTAATGGATGTTAATGTAACTGTGAAAACAGCAGAAAAACAATATAATCTTTCATTGTTAATCACTGAGACTTAAAAAATAAATTATAGTAATTAAAGTCAGGAATACATTAAATTAGATAGATTTAATGATTACATTATGGGAAGTGTAAGTGAATGGTCGATTAAATGTTTTTAATGCAATAAAGAATTGGAACTTATAAATAATATTAATTATGACTAATATTTAACATCCATTCCAAATACTACTTAAATAAAACACACCAATGATTATGTACTAATATAATAAGAACAGAGTATTATAGCAATTGATAATTTTGGATTAGTCAAATATTTTATTCCTTTGCCTTTAACAGAATAGTCTACAAAATGTACATCAATAACTGCTAATACATGGGAGACGAAAACAAAAATAGTGGTTTCAGTTTGTAATGCTACTTCTTCAGCTTAATTTTATATAACTTCATTTTTAAGTTCATTTCCTGTTTCTATGGGTCCGTTTTATTCTCCAATATTAATAAATCAAATTACTCACATCAGAATGTTACACGAAATTTTATTTATTTTAGATGTTGTAACTGAGTATGTTTATTTGTTCAATTTAACACTTGATGAAAATTAGAGTGATGTTTTAAAAGTGATTAATTCTTTAAATGCTAGGGAATTCACTGCTGATACAGGACAAGTTTTTGTTAGTTTTGATGTAGCTTATAATAATGGAACTTATCTTTTATTTTTGTTAACAAATTCTTCATGTAGATTATATTTTTTATAGTAGAATTTATTATTTATACATATCCTTAGGATGATGCTTATTCAGCAGATTTAATATCATTTTTTTATGGATTAGGATTTGTAGACATACCCTCTAACATAATTCCATAAGCATTAATAGTAGCTGAAGCAGGATAATAGAATTAAATTCAATATTACAGGATTATTGTGGCTAATTAAAATTTTCACCATTATGAATTAGAAATTAAAATTAAAAATACAGAAAAAGATACACTCGTTACTTTAGAATTTATAAGAGCTTATATGTAATATGGATATTTCTATGGAAATGGAAAAATTCGAGTCTCTGAAGAATCTTAAGGATTCTTTGGTTTAATTTATTAAAATCCTTTAGATGATAAATAAAAGATATTGGTTGTTTATGATAGGTTTAGTAACAGCACAGATAAGTTGATTAAGATTCTAGGAGGATATAAAATTCAATCAACAAATTAAATGTAATTTGCTTAGTAATATTTTAGTCTATTTGATTTTTTGCATTTTAAAAGGAAAAACGATGAGTTTTCATATAGAATCATTTTATAAGATGGATCTTGTATAAGTTCTTTGATTTTATCGAGATATTTGGCAATTAAAGTAAAAGATAAGGAATTTTAAACCTAAAATATAACATTCAATGCTTCAAATGATTTTGGAAAATGGGTAAGTTTTCAAGCCAATATATATAATATATCAGGATAGGTAATAATGGTTAAATGATTAATTTAGGCAAACTTATTATTCGTAATGATATCTTTGGGATTTGTTGTATTTATAGTAATAATTACATCATGGCTTTATATTAAGAATAAATTGGATAAGTTAGAAGTGAAGGAATTTTTTGAGGTGATAGAAGAAGAAGAAGAAAAAAATGAAATAATAAGAGAATGATTATAATTAATATATGAATTGATTAAGAATTGTGATGAATTGTATAATTATTAGATGAATATCAATTTTTTTTCTTTGGAGGATTCCACATTTATGTCAATGTATCTTAGACTAAAAGAGTAATCATAGCATGTGGTCCTACTCTTGTATAAAAGACTGGCAATCCAACCCATAATCCTGTAACACCTTCCCTTTAAATGGTCTAGAATTTATAATTGAAAATGAATTACTTTGAGGAAACAATCTCCAATATTTTTATAAGGGAATTATCCTGTAGCAGGATCTATTTTCATTCTTTAAAGTTTTGTTTTGAGATTGTCAGGAGGTAAGGAAGCAATAGCACATCCTATACCAGCTGCTGCAGATGATCTAAGAGAGATTATAAATAATAGAATATATACAGAAGTTTGTCTGTATAGTCTTCTTTTCCTTTTCCATGAAGAGAGACTATAATATCTTTGATTTGATCATATGTAGTTAACATACCTAAAATATATAAAATTTTAAATTACTTAAGTTCATAGCAATAGCTCTAATGACAGTTGGTAATGATCCTCTCCAGAGAGTTAAAAGTCCCTCTTCACTAACAATTCTGTAGAGAGCATCAAATACATTCTTATAGTTTCTCCTTTATGCAGCAGGTAAAAGTGTATCAGCTTGAAATCTGACCAAACACAAATCAGCTGGATTTCCAACTATTGATCCAACAAATCCAGAAAATGATGATGCTAAGCATCTTTCCTTGAAGTACATGCTTCTGTCATAGGTTCTTTTGAAATGATCATCTATAGCTCTATATAATCCCAAACGAGTTGTAGCATAAGTGACTTATCTGAGTAATGCAGCTCCAATTCTAATAATATATTATTAAGATGAACCCTTTATAAAATCCGAAAGGTCCTTCTGTTTTGAGGATGTCTCTAACAATTTCTAAAGTGCTGACATTGACAGCTTAGCCTTGTCCTTTGAGTTCACTTCTGACTTAAATTCGCACTTTCACTGTATCCATTGGTTAAACAAAGGTTGTTGCTGTGCATCCTGAGATACCTCCAATCAAAAAAGGGGATACTAATTCAAAGAATGTCGGCATATCTAATTTGTTTATATTAAATAATTCTTAAAAGTTCTACAGTATAAATTACAAATATAAGTAAATATCAATATTCACATACGCATTATTTAACCAAGAACTAATCTAATTTTGGGATTATTCAACAAATTATTTTTATACTTTTATATCTAGAAAGATATTTGAAAAGACAATTAAGAACTTTAAATTACAATATCTAAGTCTCTATAAAATCAATAATGTGTTTTGGTTATTGTTGTTCATAAGACTTTTAAAATATTATTTAAGATTGATGATTGAGTATAAAAATATTTTAATTAAAAAGCAAAAAGAAAATTGTATAAAATAATGATACTTTTTTAAAATAAATTGACTTTTGATTCGGAGAGTAAAAGGAATCAAATGAAAGAGAATGAAGTATAAGAATAAAAATCTTTAAATAAAAATCATAAATTAAACTTATAGAATTCTGAAGGAGGATAATGTTTGATAAATTTAATTGATTTCGGGTAATGTGTATCATTATTATAAAGCACTCTCAATGATTTTTGTAAAATTCTCAATAAGATCTGGGCTTTGTTCTAGAATGACGTTCTGATTGTTTCCAACTCTTTATAAGATTTCTCTTTAGACATTAATCAATTCATCAATAATTGGATCATTGTTCAAATATTGATCAGTCTCTATTGCTTCTTGATAGTCAGTATAGAGTATTTCATATTCTCCATCATCATAATATTTGACACATTCTATTATGTCTCTTTTGTTTTAATTGTTTCTGAATTGCATTATAATCATGGCCAGAGTGAGGTCATAATACCATTAATTTATGTTGACTTATAAAATTATACCAACTATTACATTTTTTATTGCAATTTGGACAAGTTCCATCTTCTTTATAATCTGCCATAGACAAAGTGCATAAAGGTTATCCTCCTTCATGATTGATAGGATCAAAAAACAATTCTCCTTTTGAAGGTTGATTTCTAAACATTGGGTTTTAAGGAGGAGGTGGCTTGGGTTTTCTTAAAGGATATATTATCGATTTTTATTTTGTTTGCTCCAAAATCTTGACAGCAGCCAAAGGTCTGAGATTATTGAAAATCAATCTTCCTGGACCTGTTTATTATTGATAATTATACATTTTCTATTATTTTTATTTTAGAATTATTTCTAACTTAGAGGCACTTAATAAATCTTAATTTAAATAAGTATAAAATGTATATTATGTATTTATCAATCATTCAGATTGTTTTTAATTAATCTATTCTATTAATCTTTTAAAAATGTCTACTTCAGATAATCCAGAAATCTAATATAAATTTNATCAATATTCACATACGCATTATTTAACCAAGAACTAATCTAATTTTGGGATTATTCAACAAATTATTTTTATACTTTTATATCTAGAAAGATATTTGAAAAGACAATTAAGAACTTTAAATTACAATATCTAAGTCTCTATAAAATCAATAATGTGTTTTGGTTATTGTTGTTCATAAGACTTTTAAAATATTATTTAAGATTGATGATTGAGTATAAAAATATTTTAATTAAAAAGCAAAAAGAAAATTGTATAAAATAATGATACTTTTTTAAAATAAATTGACTTTTGATTCGGAGAGTAAAAGGAATCAAATGAAAGAGAATGAAGTATAAGAATAAAAATCTTTAAATAAAAATCATAAATTAAACTTATAGAATTCTGAAGGAGGATAATGTTTGATAAATTTAATTGATTTCGGGTAATGTGTATCATTATTATAAAGCACTCTCAATGATTTTTGTAAAATTCTCAATAAGATCTGGGCTTTGTTCTAGAATGACGTTCTGATTGTTTCCAACTCTTTATAAGATTTCTCTTTAGACATTAATCAATTCATCAATAATTGGATCATTGTTCAAATATTGATCAGTCTCTATTGCTTCTTGATAGTCAGTATAGAGTATTTCATATTCTCCATCATCATAATATTTGACACATTCTATTATGTCTCTTTTGTTTTAATTGTTTCTGAATTGCATTATAATCATGGCCAGAGTGAGGTCATAATACCATTAATTTATGTTGACTTATAAAATTATACCAACTATTACATTTTTTATTGCAATTTGGACAAGTTCCATCTTCTTTATAATCTGCCATAGACAAAGTGCATAAAGGTTATCCTCCTTCATGATTGATAGGATCAAAAAACAATTCTCCTTTTGAAGGTTGATTTCTAAACATTGGGTTTTAAGGAGGAGGTGGCTTGGGTTTTCTTAAAGGATATATTATCGATTTTTATTTTGTTTGCTCCAAAATCTTGACAGCAGCCAAAGGTCTGAGATTATTGAAAATCAATCTTCCTGGACCTGTTTATTATTGATAATTATACATTTTCTATTATTTTTATTTTAGAATTATTTCTAACTTAGAGGCACTTAATAAATCTTAATTTAAATAAGTATAAAATGTATATTATGTATTTATCAATCATTCAGATTGTTTTTAATTAATCTATTCTATTAATCTTTTAAAAATGTCTACTTCAGATAATCCAGAAATCTAATATAAATTTATTTACCTACAAACTTTTTAATTAGTATATTCTTAATCTTCTTATTCATTGATTTTATTAGGTTTCAAAGTTTTTTTTTCATTTTTTCAATCTTCATTCAATTTAGTTAGATTATGTTTTATGATTAAATTCTAATTCATCCAATCTTTCTAATAATAAAGAAATCAATTTTGCAAAAAAAACTAGGATAAACATTTTAGTCAATTTTGCTGCAAATTTTTCAATAATTTAAATTAGAACTAAGTGAGAGAACTTTTTTTAGTTGAGCTTCGAGAATATTTTTAATTTTTTTTTTTTAGAAATTCTACTTAGTTTAGATTAAATTAGATTTTGGTCTTAAGTACGAAGATATTGTTATAAAATACCTTAATTAAATGATAGATATTCCTTCTACTCTTAAAATAAGAAATAATTTTTATGCTATATATAAATATTATGTATTAAAATCAACATATGTTAGTATCTAATTTATTTTAAGCATCATTATTGATCATAATGTTTCTACTATTTTCTGTATAAAGCAGTTTAATCTTATTAGATTTTTTTTTTGGTAAAATTAATTCATAATTAAAAACTTACTTATTCTTAACTTTAATTATTAATATCAGAATAAGTTTATTAACTTGAAAATAGGCTCAACTAGATTAAGATTTTCTTAATCTTATAATGATGTTAATGCAAATAATTCATCTTAAATATAATAATTATTTGACACTTATTTTCATATTGTCGTTTATCATTTTTACTAGAAATTTAAATGGATGATCGAAATATTTTAATAGTCTCAAAGTGATGTTGTCTACTATTTTGAATGCAAATGCCATAACAAATTAATAATGATCTAATTTATAATAATAATAAAAATGAATATGTCATCTTCTCTTTTTATTTTATTAAAATGTTCTATAATTTAAATCTTATTTAGGAGCATTTTCAAAAATAATTTCTAATTTCTCATCTAGTTTTTCATCAAATTTTTAAAGTAACTCTAAACTTCCTAAAGATTCTTCTAATTGAGTAACATTTCTTGCTCCTGTTATAGCAACATTAATATCCTTATTTCTTATAGTCCAAGCCAAAACTAATTAAGCTGGTGTTACATTTAATTCTTTAGATAATTCAACTATTCTCTTCACACCTTCTAAATTCTTTGGATTTTTTACTGTATAAATTATATTAATTACTATATTTTAACAACCATCTATTCTAAGCTCTTTCTTTTGTCATCCATCCATTATCTTTTGCACATCTACTATCATCTGGTATTCCATCCAAATATTTCCCTGTCAGAAATCCTCCGCATAAAGGACTATAAATTGTAGTTCCATAATTATATTTCTCATATAAACCTACTAAATCATATTCAAATTATTTTCTTTATAACATATGATACTCTCCTTATTCTGCTATTGGCCTTATTAATCCATGTAAATCTGCATAATTTATTGCTTCCTAAATCTATCCAGAATTCCAATTGCTTGTTGCCCAATAAAATGCTTTTCCATCTTCTATTATTTAATTGAATCCTCTCACTATTTCCTCAGTTGAAGTCTCTGTATCAAATTAATGTGCATATATTATATCCACATAATCCAATTATAAATTCTATAAACTTCTATTTACTGCCTCTATAATATGCTTCCTATTTAGAGTACACATTCTATTAACATTCAATCCTATCAAAACTTATTAAAACTATCTAAACCTCCTGGACTCTAATTTATGAACACTTTCGTCGTTATCACTAATTTCTCTCTTGGCAACTTTAAAATTTTTATCGATCTGCCTAATTATTTTTCTGCTTCTCCATATTCATAACTAATCAAACTTAATTAATCTCATACAATTCTGCAGTATCAAAAAAATTTATTCCTGCCTCATATGCTCTTTTTATTATTGCTATATTCATCTCCTCATCCTATGGTTAAAAGTTTACCATATTACCAAATCCCAGACAAGAAACAAGTAAACCTGTATTTCCTAATCTATTATATTACATATTATTAATTAATTTACTCTATAATTTTACTTATCATAAACAAACATTCATATCTCCATAAATATTTACTAATAAACATTTTAGTTATGATTTCTTCATTCAAATATATAATTTTATCAACTCAAATCTCTAATCATTTAAATCTAAGTTTATATCCAATAAATTTTAAACATCTTTCTTAAGTAATATATTATATATTCACTCTTACATAATACTTATGTATTTATTTGCATTTCATAATCATGGACTTTGTATTACTTTTTATAATAATTAGAAATAGATGTAAACTTAATTTTTCATATATTAGATGATGGAATTTTTAATAATGTAATGAATAATTATCACTTGACATTGAATTAATTTTATATTAATACAGAACAATTATCAATTGTTTGTTTATCGGCATTATCAAAAACTAATTATTTGGTTTCACAATTTTTAATCATGATTTTACGATAAGTTTTAAATAGTAAAATCATAATTTATACACCAAAATTAATTGAATATTATTATAATATCTTTTACTATTATATTAATTCTCTTTCATCATCCTTATTATAAATTGATTCAATATTAGCACATACTAATCTGGATCTCTATTCCTACAAATATTATTTGCATTAATCTAAATTTAAGTTTTCTAATTTCTACAATTATCTTTCCATCAAATCGAATATCTTATAAAGTAACTATTTCTTTTTAATTAATTCTGTCATTACATTACTTTCACTTGTTGCTGTTTTTAATTTTTTAGTGCTAATTGATCTAATAGGAGATGCCTAAGTACTAGTTGTCTTACAATGTTCAATTAAATTAGATTGAGATACCTATTTTAATATTTATGTTTTTTTAAGACAAATTGGTGTATTTTTAAAATCTATTTTTTATTATTGATTTGTTAAAATGGTTTAAAATAGTTGATCCCATCCCCATCTATCTTTTTCTTCTTTTCCTAAACATCCTATTATTATTGTCTTTGTTTTTTAATCAATTTATGGTAATAGCGGAAACTTCAAGGATTCATTATCTAAACGATTAAGTAATTCAACAACATTAGAAGAATGCCATGGTGTTGTTTTGTAAATCATTTCATATAATATAAGACCCAAAGACCATACATCAGATTTACTAGTGTATGGTAATCTTCTTAAAATCTAAGGAGCCATATATAGTGGAGTTCCAACTAAAGAAGACATTGTAGAATCAACTTAAACTCTCTTTGCAAATCCAAAATCAGTTATTTTAAATACTCCATCCTACAATAGAATATTAGCTGGCTTTAAATCTCTATGGACTATACCATTTCTAAGTAATTCCTATAATCCATTTAAAATTTGTTTAAATATTTCTATTGCTCTCTCCTCTGATAATTGACGGGGTACTAAATATGCCTTTAAGTCTCCCCCATTACAGTATTCTGTTACTATATAAATATTGTTTGTGCTATGAAATACATCCAATAACTTCACTATATTCTAATGATTAAGTGATTTCATTATCTCCACTTCTTAAGCTATCTACTAAGAAGTGTAATCACTTTTAATCAGATTATTACTTATAATCTTTATAGCCACTGCTATTAATAATTTTCTTGAAAATATTACTCTGGTCATTATAAGTGTCTCTTGCCATATAAACATTTGCATAAGCACCTGAACCAATCTTTGCATCATACAGGAATTCGTAATGCTTTACTTTCTTCTTTTATTTTATTCTCTCACTTTACATTATTTCTAATTACAAATATTTATTATCTATACCCAATTCTTATTCCTCTTAAACTTATTAAACTTATTAAAGAATGATTCAAATTTTCATTTTTCATTATAATCAAGATTTAAGACTATTATAATTACAAACTAAATTTATTCTTCCCACAATCATTCTCTCTCATATAGTCTCACCTTTACATCTAATCTAATATTTTTATTAAATAATTTTTAGCTAAAACTTCACAATATTCTATTTCCCATATATTATTTAACTCAAAAATCAATAAATAAAATATCCTTCCTTCTTCTTAATATTTAATCCTCGACCTTTAAAGGTATTTAGAATCGCATATAATGAAAAAAATATGTTTTATATTTCTCATCCATTAATCTAAATGATTGTCATTAATACATCAGTACCTAATTTTATGTTTATTAAATTTAATTACTCTAAACTTTTATCCCCAGTAAAATTCATAGTTATAAAATTATTTATTTATGAAACTAAATTCGAAGAATAAGATATTTGATAATTTAAGTTTATTGTTAAAAATTCTTCCACTTACCCATTAATTAAGTATCTAAATATCAATGAAAAACTTAGGCTATAAAATTATTACTTTTTTTTTTATTTTAAATGAGGAAATCTTTAGATTGATATTATTTCAAAAATATGTAAAGAAAAATAAAGATTATTCTAAATTTATAAATTCTATTTCATTTCTAAAATGAATGTTATTTTATTTTAATATAATTTTCTTTTCAAGATTGATATTTTCATTAAGTTATAATTAGGTAAATTACTTAAAATAATTAGAACTTAATATTTTCAACAGAGTATTTTATGAATTTTTGATATTTTTTTTTTAAATAGTATTTTATAGTATAAAAATTTTATAATTTAATTATTAAAGTTCATATTATAATGGCAATTAAAAACATTGATGTTCAAATAAACTATTAATGAAAAAGTTATTTGATTTATAAAATTATATTGGTATTTAAAATAAAAAATATTTATAAAAGATGCAGGTTAAGAATCAATTATGAAATGATATTTATATATAGATTATTAATTTGAGTTAAAATACATGAATACTTATAAGCTGATTATAAGAGTTTTAAGTTAAGAAGAAAAAACAAATGATAACTCATAAACAAGTGGAATTGCTGGAGGTGGTGTAGTTGTATTTGTTTTGGGAATGATAATTTATTGTATATGGAAATGTTTTTAAAAAAAAAGAGAAGATGAACAACAAGCTGAAGTTATTCCATCAAATGAATACTAATTTTAAGAGTAAAATATAGAATTTGAAGCAAGAACTTAAGCAGGTAGAATAATAGATGAGATGAAAACTTCAAAATGTAATAATTATATTAAATTTAGAAAAACTTTACTTAGAAAACAAAGAATTAGAAGATTGCCCAATTTGTCTAATGCCTATATCTCCTGCTTTACTAATATCTACTTCTTGCAATCATCAATTCCATAAAGCATGCTTAACTTAATGGCTAGAAGTCAATGACATGTGCCCTACTTGTAGAACAAAAGTTTCTAAATGAACTACAATGAAAAAATATTAAATGATAAAAGATTTTGTTAATAAAATAATTGATACAATGAAAAATACACTCAAATCTTCTTGTTAATATTCTTTTAATATCAATTTATTCATTATGAGATGAAAACTTTAATAAAATTATAATAAGATGGTTTAATTCTATCTAATTTATTAATAATAAATATAAAAAATAAAATTTTTTTCAATTACTTGCTTATTGGTATTAAATAACAAATTTATAGGTAGAGATTTTCAATATATAAAAAAGAACTTGATAGATTATGAAAGGAGAAAAGAAAAAGATTAGAAGAAACTTATGTAGTTAAGATATTACTATATAAATGCTAATGATTAAATAGAAGATTAGAAAAGTGAGAAAAGATGTTTTTAATAAGAAAAAAAAAAAATAATCTATGCTTGAAAAGTTTTTTAGAATTAATTTTGAAATGTAAAATTAAGAAAAGTACATAATTAACAATTATAACAATTTTAAGATAATTACTTTTAAACAGAGGTTCTTTCTTTTCACTATTATTAATCTATTAATTCAAGAAAGCATAACTTGTAAAATGATTAAATTATCACTAAATCTCATTAATATTTGTAACAAATAAGAAATCTTCAAAATAGTAAAGATTTTTTTAATAAATATATTTATAAACTAAATAAGAATAATCAAAACTGATTTATTCACGAAAACCTAATTCCATTATTATAAAAAATGTAAATAAATATTTATTATATGATATCATTAAATATCTCCAAAACCTAAAGAAGTTCTTTAATTATAATCATTAATTTCCATATTTTCCTAAGTTTTTTGCTCAAATGGTTGATTATTAGCCATACCCTATTATTAAAATTATTAAATATAGCAAAATTGTGTTACTTAAGAAAAAATGTTTTGCATTTACTAAATTAAACTTAACAATTAATTTTGATTAGCTTCAAAGTTATCTGCTCTTTATTTCTAAAATATAGCCTCTTTTTCGCTAATTTAAAGTTTTTCATTAAGTAATTTAATAGCTTTTTCGTAATAAGCCTTTTATTCGTTCATTTATTTAATCAATTATTTATCGTTTGAATTAAAAGGTTCCTTTTAAACAAGTAATTTCTTAAAACTATCTTTTATTAAAATATTTTTTGATCCTTGATAAATTTAACAAACGTTAGACTAATTAAAAATTTCTTAAAATTATTCGTTTATAAACATCATCAATTCTTATAGATTTTTTACTCCACTATTTAAAATTTAATAATTATTAAAAAATTCTTCATTTGGTATGGTTTAGTAATAAGTTTAACTTAAAAACTATTAAATTTAATCTATTCCACTATATTTTAATTATGTTAAAATGGCATTTTAATCAAAATTATTTGGTTGTAATTCATAATTTGTTTAGAAGCATTTCACAAACCATGTATCAGATTTTTTAAGAATATCAATCATATCTCTACAAACTATTAAAGTATTATCAGCAACAGTTTGATTTTAAGATTGTAGTTCAAATGAATTAATTATAGAATTCTAACTCAATTTATTTATATTTTATAGATTCTCACTTACACTATATTTATTACGGGATAGAAAACCATCAACTTAATAATAAACTTCACCTCCTGTATGTCTAATACCTAATATGTTTTATTCAAATTTATGAATATTTTAACTTGATGTTAATGCTTATTTTTTAGTCTTTAATTATTATTCATCAATCAAAATATTTTTAAGATTTTTTTCTTGAGACTATTTAGTAATTATTTCCTTCAAATCTCCAGTGTTTCTCGATAATAAATGACAATCCTTTAAACTCTTGAAGATTACCTCTTCAATCAATGATATTATTTTATCATTTTTTTCAAATTTAGCAGGAATTGGAGTTAAATTTTCTGAAATAAACGCATCTAAAAATATTAATAATATTAATTTACTTTCTGCATTTTCTATTATATGAAGATAAAAATAGTTCTACAATTTTTCATTGACATAATTGAGCATTAGTTATTCTAATTAATTCTATTAAACACCCTATTTATTCTCTATAACTTCAAATCCAAAGCTATCAAAAATATTTAGTATAAACTTCTTATTTGAATCATAATCTTAGAAAAGTTATTTATTAATTTTATTTTGGATCCAACAAAATAGTTTATAATAGAAATCCATAATAATGCCATCAACAATAGATTCTGCTTACAATTTTTTACTTTATTATAAATTGGTAATTTTAGAATCAATAGTTTCTTTGAGATTTGATATTTTTAACAATTCTTCTGCTTTTTCATAATTATTTTCTTCTAAATGAATAAGCCCAGCAACACATTAAAGAATATTTACAATATCCTCTAAACTAAAATCAAGATCTCCAAAAGATATCAGGAGCTATTTGAAATTTTCAAAATCTTAATTAATTTAATTTAAATCTGATTAATTAATAGATTAAACATCTGAACTTGATGTTATTTAATTTTTAGTCCCTAAAAGTACAAATTCAGAATCTAGTTAGAATTTTGTTATTTCCTCTACTAATTAAACTATGTCATATTCAACTTAATCTTAATACTATTAAGCAAAATTTTCTATGATAATAATTTTATTATTTACTTAATTCTTCAATTCTTTCATAAGCAATTTTAAGTTAATAGAAAATATGATAATTTCTATCCATAAAACCTAATTATGTTACTCTAGTTCTTTCAAAAAGTGTTGTTGTAATTTTTGTACCACTTATTTTTCCACCTTTCTCAAACTAAATTGAAACAATTTTTCCAAACCTAGATGAATTAGCATTTTTTTTTGTTTTTGCATTTCCAAAAGCTTCATAAATGATATTTGATGAAATCAATCCTTATTCAATTTCTACTTTATTAAGAGTTGTTGAAATATATAATCCACTTTTAGACCATGAAGCCAGATAACTTATTATACTTTTAGAAGTTTCTGATTTACCAGATCCACTTATTCCTTAAGTAACAATTGATGAAGTATTATTTTTATTATTTGTAGAAAAGCAAGATTATTAAGCAAGCTCTGCAAATTTAAAAATATGAGGTGGATATTATGAAGGACTATCTATTTTTATCTATTTAATTCTTTTACTTTTTTATACGAAATACTGTTTACAATTTTGTATTTATTTATCATTCAAATGTTAGGTGTCTTCAAATGGATTAAGTAATATTAAATTTTAATTTCCCAACTCTAAATAAATTTGTTTTTAATTAAAGGCATTCTCAAGTAATTCTAAAGTTTGCTATTATGATGGATTAGAAATATCCTTTTTAATAATTATATATTTTACAGCAATGTTATTGGGCAGTTAATTGAAAAAGGGGACATTTATTTTTTCATCTGGTTATAAGATAGGCTGGATTGGAACACTTTCATTCATTTTTATTTAATAAAATAATAATTAAAAAAAAATATCTCGATATTGCTCTTTAAACAAAAAATAATTGCTTAATAGAATATCAATCCAATTTTTATTATTGGTGATGATTAATTAATTTATTGAAAAAGCCCCCTTCTATCTTAATTAATTCTTAATATTCTCCTTATTCTACTATTTCACCTTATTCCATAACAATAATCTTATCATAAATTTTAATATTTTCTAATCTATGAGTAATAACCAATAGTGTTCTATTTTCGGCAAATTTGAAAAGTAAATCATGCAATAACTATAGAATAAATAAAAAATTATATACTTAATCTGTTTTTGGATCCATGTTTGAAGTAGCTTCATCTAAACAAATAATCTCTTTGTTCATAAGAACAATTCTCAAAAAGTTGAGAACTTATTTTTCTCCATTGGATAGATTGGATCCATTTTATGATATAATAAAATCAGCATTACATGAATTACTGTTGGTATTATTGATACCTCTTAATTAAAATCCAGTATCAATAAATAATTTTTCTATAGTTTCTTTATTTGTTTTATTTTGTGGATCTAAATTATCTTTTACACTAGCATTATATAAAAATCCAAATTAAGGTACTACTGATAATTGAGATCTTAATTCTCTTAAAGTTAATTTAGAAGTCTAATAAAAGTTAATTATAAAATTATATTACATCCATTCCGTTTATAAAGATCTTTCCATATTAATGATTGTAAAGTCCAAATAAAATATTTAATATCGAAGTTTTACCAGATCCAGTTCTCCCAACAAATGCTATTTTCTATCCTTTCTTAATAGTCAAGCAAAAATTTTTTAAAGCAAACTTAGCTTAAGCAGAAACATTCTCATATGTTAAAAATATATTTTTAAAAGTTACTGCATTTTCTATTTTGAATTCTGTAAATTCTTATACATCCTTCCAAATTTCTAAATCAACCTTAGGCAATATTGAAATTTTATCAATATTTTCTGTTTCATTGCTAAAATATTATTTGACTCTTTCAACAGAAACTATTCCAGATTCCATTCTTAAATATAAAGAAAATAAATCATAAAAACTATCTAAAACTACCATAGAATAAGTAATTGCTAAGGCTTATACAGAATAATCATCTTAAAAATCCAATATTACAGTAAGTATGACAAAACTTGATACACAAATAAGTATTAAATTACTCATCAAATTTAATCTTACTCCAAACCATAATTTAGATCTTTCTCCACATTAATCAGTCATTACCCAATTATAAAGTTTATTTTAAAAGGTTTAAGAAAATTAAGAATTTTTATCAAAAGCTCTGATTAATTTAATTCCAGTCAAAGTTTCATTTACAGTTTAAAGTAATGATCCTTAATTGACTGATTTCAATCTTTTTATTTCTCTATTTGATTTGATATAAGTTTTACTCACTTAATAATAAAGTAGAACAACTCCAAATAATATTAATACAAAAATAGGCTAGAGTATTACTAACCCTATAGATAAACCTGTCACTCTACTAACATTTTCTAAGAAACAATGAAAGGTCCAACTTAAATCATCATCTATCATTTATGTATCATCTTATATTCTATTAATAATTCTTCCTGCATTTGTTTTATCATAAAATTTCATAACAGATTCCATTAATGTTTTATTTAGTCTAAATAAATATAAAAATTATTTTTACTTTATGAATAGCACCCAAGCTGATCTTAAAGCTGTTGAAACATATAAAACAGCTCTAACAAATGTAACCAATAAGGCAAATAAAGTAAGATAAAGTAAAGTGTCAGTAAATGAATTATTATAATAAACTGTAATTTAATGTAACCAAGTTTCATCACCTTTTAATTCGGATTTCAACCAGAAATCAATTAAAGACATAGATCCTTACATAAAAAAATTAACAATCACCCATCCTATTAAAAGGAACCAACTCATGCTACTAAAATAAGTTAACCAAGTATTCATATTAATCTTCCCTTATTCTCTTTACTCTTAATTTTCAGTTTCATCTTCTTCAATTTTATTTTTAAATTATTCTTTTTCAGATTTCTTAGAACTTTATTATTTAATCAATTCTGGTATCACTTCTTCTAATTCTTCCTCAATATTTTACTAATCTTCTTATGGTTCTTATTCTTTTTACAGATATTCATTAATTTGATTTATATCATTTATTATTTACCCATTTTCTAAATAAATTATTCTTGATTTCACTGTTTAAGGTACTTAATTTAAATAACGATAATGAGAAGTAATTAATAATACTGTTTTTCCTTTATTGATTAAAAATTACAATATTGTTTTCTAAAATATCTAATCAGCTATATGAATATCTAAAGATGAAAATATATCATCAAATAAATATATATCACAATTTTAATATAAAGCTCTAGCTAAAGTAATTCTTTGTTTTTATCCTCCACTTAAATTCTTACCATCAGGTCCTATTTCATGAAAATCTTGTTTATCAAATGTCATTATATCTTTTCTTATTTCACATACATCTATCACTTCATTATACAAATTTTAATTAAAAGGCAATCCAAATAATATATTGTCACGAATACTCATATTCTAAACCCAAGTTGTTTGAGAACAATAACCTATATTTCCTTTAATTAATATTTAATCACTAATTGTAAGCATTCTTTATCCTGAAAGTAGTGAATCAGATCTAATTGAAATACTATTGTACATTCCTTCATATTAATTATACTTTTATAACTCATTTAATATTGCATTAAAAAGAGCACTCTTACCAGATCCAATTTTACCAATTACAAAATTTAATGTATTTCTCTCAATCTTTAATTCATTTATCTTTAATACAAATTAAGAATTTTCATCAGTTTAATTAAATACCAATATATCATCACTAATTTAATTTTTTTTTTATGCTCTTTTTTCTTTTTCACTATGTTCTATTGGCCATTCACATAATAAACCTTCTATTAATATAACATCTCCTTCTTTTGGATAAGGTAATTAGAATCGATCATCTGGATCAATCTCCTGTTATTAGAGAAATTTAGAAATTCTATTAAATGATACATAAGCCAATAAGCCAGAATTTATACACCAAGGTAAAATTCCTAAAGGAAATATCATCATATTAAAAACAGCTATTAATGAAAATATGTTTAAGTCAGATAGAGATTTACCATTTCCAACTGATGAGATTATATATGTACATAAAAGAACATAACTAACATTATTCCAAAATATTGAACATAATCCATCAAAACCTTTTAATAAACTAAGCATAAAGAATTCCCAATTTCTAAATCCCATAATTTTTTTGCTAAAAGTTTCTTCCCATGACAAATATTTTATTTACTTCATTCCCTCAATCACATCAGTTGACAATCCAACTCTCAAATCCTTATATTGTAACATGAACTTTTCTGATTTCATCATTACTGCAGTAACTATTAGATTAAAAACTTAAGCACATAACATAGTTATTACAACTATTGTACCTGCATGAGAATCAAGATGATATAAAAATATTAAACATCCTGTAATTAATAGAATGGCTTCCCAAGTATCTCTTATAGTGAAATTTATTAACATAATTTGATCTAAGTCTGCAGTTAGAAGAGTCTAAGATTTATAATCATTTTACATTGATATTAGCTGAATGACTATCACTATCACCTTTACTACTTATACATTAGACTCTTAAAGCTTTATCATAGATTAAATATTATGATATCAATCGAAGTCGAAGCACAAATAAATTTACAAATTGATCTGTTTTGGCATTAAAATATGTTCTTATTTATAAAACTTTAAAAATACTTGAGAAGAGATAGACAAATAATTCCACATATTGATAATATGGGTTTATACATATGATCTCTGTCTAAATTTATTAAAGAATTTGTTGCATAATTCAACATTAGTAAATTTCCAAACATTATTATATCTGTGACTGTTTAAATTCCAAGTAATTAAATAGTTCGTTGAAGAAAAAAATGTCGAAAGATTTTTCTGTAGAGATGTTAGGGCTTTGATTGTAAAATACTAATTAATTTTTCTAAATTTTTACTCTTTTAGTTTTTATAGGATATGTTCACAATCTGACTCTTTAATGACAAATTTTCTCAGATCATTATTTTGTATTTATCCATCCATACTGTTTATGGTAGTAATTAGAGGTGTGATATCACTAAATAACCAGTTGTCTGATTTCACTTATTTTCTCAAGAATGATTATTCCATAAAAATATAATATAATTTAGCTGATGTGGCAATTTTTGTAATGTTAAAATTCTTTAATATAAATTTATTAGGAATCCTATTTATCAGAAATTTAATTATGCAATCATAAAATAGATTTTAATTATCATTATCATATTAATTTCAATTTAATAAAAGAATAATCAAATATACTATTCCATATTCATTGTGATTTAATTACATTGAACAAAATATAAATTCTATAATAAACAAATTTGATTTTATTTGAATTAAAATATTTACTCATTAATTTATTATTACATATAACAGTTCAACTCTTGATAATTGATTATTATGCTTTGAAATTTCAAGCTCTTACAAAAAGTTATTCCTTGTTTTATTGCATAATTCTTTAATCATAATTTTGTATAAATCTTAAGATTAGAGATCCTTTTCCTTGATTTATAGATAAAAATTATTACTTCTATACACAATCGCAATAATTGTTGAATGTATTTTTAATAATTTTCAGTAACGTGAGGATCTCCCAAATATGTTTCTTAAACTGGTATAAATTGATTTATATATGAGAGCATCAAAAAAAGATGTTTTCTACTTTCCTAACTTTAATCACCACCAAATTAATCGAGAGCATCAAAGCAAAACTGTTGCAAATTTGGTAACAAAAACTTCTGATTTTTACTATCGAATAAATGCTTTGAAAGAATATAGAAATAATTTTACTTTTGATGAAGGATATGGTAAAAACAAATTACAAAATTCACTAACACAACCAATAATCATTTGATATTGCTTCTTGTAAAACTTTTAATAAGAACTGCATAATGATATAACAGTCCTTGAATAATAATCAAGTGATAATTAATCTTTACACATTATTTTCCCAATATCTCTCTTTTTGCTTAATTATCCAGAAATATTCCTAAAAGTTATAAGTAGATTATCAAGTAATTTTTATGAAAATTATTTTTATTATATAGAATTTAACCATTATGCTCCAATTGCAGATAATTTGAGGATGATCTATAAGTATACTTAAGAATGTTATTATTCAAAAGACTACAATAACAATTAGGTAAGTTTGAGAATAAAATCACAAGGTTCTGGTAAAGAATTAGGAAGCACAAAATCTTAAATTAAATCAGATAATTAATAAACTTAGGTTGAACCATAATGTAATTAATGAATAAGTTCTGAAATAAGATTTTTCCACCCAGAATCACCAAATAAAAATTAAATATTAAAATTATTTACTTTAAGTAAGGTTACTCTTTCTCTATACAATAATTTTTATGTCTATTAAACTTGTTAATTTAACAAGATAGAATTGAAATTCAAGGTATAATTAATCACATTGTCTAATAAATTTAATTTATATTGATATTTATCGTTGAATGCTACTTTTTCTTCTTCATTAGCCATTTAATCAATTGATTTTTTGACTGTAGTTAATAACTAATGAGAAATAAAATAGAAAAGATACCTCCTAGATTTCTAAATAATTGATAGTTGATATGCTTTCAATCATGTCTCTTTCACACAAAAGATCAATAATATTATTTAGTAAATCTATTTTAGATCCTATTCCTTAGAATGTTGCTTCAATAGCTCCTTAACAAAGCCAACTTAAAGCCTAAGTGGCACTTCTTATATATTATTCATCTCTGATATATTTTCCTCTCATGCTTGAAAATATAATAAATGAATATGAAGTATGATCACAGAATCTTCCTAATAATTAATAAGTTCTTTATAACTAATCATAAATTGATATTAATTACATTTGATTAAATATTTCTTTCAATTTTAGTTTAACCTGTTTTGATAGCCATTATAGTATTTGGTATAAAGTTATCAAGAAATTAAGTCATATAATCTTCACTAAAAATAACACCTAATGCCATAAGATGACTGGCTCTTAGTCTGTTTTCATCATTATGATCAATAATTTCTTTATAAATTGCTGGCCACATTTTTCTAACTTAATTTTTTATAAAGCCTCTCATTCCTAACTTAGGTCTTTCCTTAAAAGGTTATGGCAATGGTAATTATGATAATTTTCCACCTAATGTCCATGCTGGCTCTATTCCTAATTACTAAATATTTTTAATATCTTTTTCTTTTTCTTTCTCCCACTCCTTACCAACATCTTCAATTATTTAAAGTGCTGCTTCCTGTATTGATGAATCACTATCAAAAAGTCCTGATAATAGATAAGGAACTAGTCTTGGATGATGATCCCATCTATCTGCTAATCCTCTTAACCAAAATCCAATTTCTTTAATAAAAGCCTGTCTTACTTATTATTTTGGATCTATAATCAATGTAGCCTATTCATTTATTAAATTTTATTACAAAATAATTTATATGATGCATAGGTTCAAAGAATGCTTTAATAGGAACAGAATTTGGATCTTTGAATCCAGTTAATACTTCAAAGACAAATGCATTATTTTTCCATACTCCACATAACAAAACAGCAGAAAGGGCTTCTAAGGCAGCTATTCTAACTGGACTTTTCTTATTAACAAGTGGATGTAAGATAGCTCTTCC